GCTCCAGTAATACGTAAGTGTAAAAATGAAGCGATAATATGGTTTACTAATAAGTTTACAAAAAGAGTTAAGTCATAGAGTACCCTGTACACCTAATTGTTCATTGAAGGAATGTATAGCCTTATCTTTCTTCCTTCTCTGACTCCACACTGAGAACTGGACAGTATTCTACCCCTGCCACTTGTCAAGAGTACCTCGTCATTTTTCCTCGCACTCTGAAACACACAATTTTACAATTAATGTAATTTTACATTACTGTAAAAATTGCTACAAATACTTCATTTGTAGTGGAATTTATACCATGCCTAGAATACCTCATTGCCTTTTTTTTTTTTTACAGCTCTGGAGGTAATGTGTCACAATATTTTAACCATTCATCCATCCTATGTTTCTCATGAAGTACACAAGCTATTCCACGGCTCCTTACACAATGACATTATTCTCTCAGAGAAAGCCAGGGGGTTTATAATACAAAAATACATTTTAAGTGCTCTTTGAAAGTCCAGGGTATTTTTGAACTATGCTCCACAGCCACTCAATAACTCAAATGGGGAAAAAATAAAACAAAACAAAACCCCTCAAAATCTCCAAGACTCTAAATGTTTATTTTTGACACCTAGTAATTAAATGATTAGACAGTTCAAAGGTCTGTTAAATATTAGATCAGCTCACAAAATGCAAAACTTGGTATGCTAATATGAAAATTGATGAATCTTCTTTTATATAGCTCAAAAGAAGGTATACAAAGTTGGTTTAATACATCACATGTTGTACTGACCTGACTAAAGAGAGATGAAATTTCTCCAGTGAGCTTTTATTCTTTACTATGTATTTAAAGCATCAATGAATATTAGATCCCTGTCTAGGTTAAAAAATGGGCAGCGAAATCTTTTATTTTAGAAGATACTTAGGAATCTGATTTTTTCTACTTATATCAACTTTGACATAAAAATTAAGCTTATTAAAGTGAGAGCTAACTTAGCTGCTCTTCATTTAACCATTTTAAATTAAATGCTCTTAACTGCTAAATTGCTGCTTCTTAAACATGCAACTCTAAGCAAAAAGGTTATTCTATTGTAGGCATATAGTTTTAAAAACTGGACTTATGTCATGTAGACACAGAGTTAAAAAAATTGAACTTGTGTTACTATTGAAAAGACTGAACAAATACAAGGGCCTCCTAAAATTTCAGGATGACCCAAGAAAAACAGTACTGACTAATGAAAAGAACTCACAGCAGGTGAGAAGGCTTTGGCCTTGTGTAGATTGTTTAAGAAACAGGGCCAATGTATCTCTAATCAGGAGAAACTCCTTAAAGACTGTTTCAGCCTCAAAACACAGATATCAACAATGAACAAACATCTCAGCTATGTGTGTGAACTGGCTATCACACACCAGGTGGCAGACCGTTTTAAAGACAATTCTGTAAATTGCCATGTAAAAGCTTAAGCATTCATCAGTGAGACTCAGAAGTCCTTCCAATGAACTGTCACTATATGAACTGCAATTATAAAATACTATTTGCAGAGGCAATAATTAAGTAGTTTACTATGCTAAACATTAAAGAAATCAAAATTGAGTTAGCTTCATTTCTTCTGTAACAAATTATGTCAGCTTTTATGCAACAAACTCCAAAATAAAATTATTACATACCTGTGTTCTTATGACCCTTAAGGATGTAAAGAGGAGCTGGGTTGTCAATTGTGAAAATGCAAATATTATGATCATTGCCACCAGTTGCAATCAGCCCACGAGGATAAAGTTCACTTGGAGGTATGATGCATACGCAGGATACAAAATTTGAGTGTCCACTCATACAGTGGATTTCAGTAAACCCCCTGTTAAGACTAAACATAAGTGATAATCAGTTCAGAGTCGTAACAGAAACAGCACTTATTTGAGGCATTGAATTACAGCAGGTGTTTTATACTCCAAGTCTTGAATTAATAACTATGCTTGCACTGCACTGAATAAAAACTCTGGATGACTTAGAAAGAATGAAAAACTTAAGAGAAAAAATATATCCCAGCATTCCAACCCATTTTGCGATATTTAAAGCTTCCATGGCAGGCCTGGAAGGACTTAGTTTTGGTTGTCTTTGCTCACTGGCAAACACTGTGTTCAATTTGATCAGAAGTAGTTACAGTTTGCCTTTTGAAATCTATTGCTGTCTCAAGCCTCAACTACATATCCCAACATACCCTAAAATATGAGAGTACCTACACGAAGGACATTTACTGCCTGCCAAATCACTGGCACTTAATTAGGAGCACAATAGATGTTTAATAATTAAATAGATTATAACTGACTCGAGCAGCACTCATCTCTTCATCATGATCCATCCTCAACAGTTATAGCACTAACTGGAAAAAGCTACTTATTCCCACACAGTAACTGCATGGACCGCAGTGGGGTTTGCTTGTTTGGGTTTTTTTTTGTTTTCTGTGTTTGTTTCTTCCTTCCCCTCACACATCCTTCTCAAAAAACAAACTCATATTACTCAGACTGTAATGTCTGAAATGCTTTGAATATGCACAGAAATCATGATACTCTTTTAAATTCTAAAACTTCTTCTCTGCTGAAGGCACAGAGGACAAATGAAGGTAACTTACCTTCCTGTAAAACAAAAATAACACACAGCAGTCTGTTCACCGACTGAACTCTGCCTACTGTAATCCCAGAGTCTTCCAAGCAGAGAGATAATAACCACCAGTGCTATGACTCTGTGTAAGTTACTCATGTCTTCCTCACACAGCCATCAAAAATTATGGGTTGGAATTAGACCTCCTTTCTTGCAGTAAGTTTCCAAGCAATTGAACAAGTTCTTCCCCTTGTGAGGGCACACTTAGTGAGATTAGTGTTCCTCTCCCTCAATTCCAGAGCTACAAAGCTCAATTTGAACACATACGTGAGCTTCCAGGTGCATTTGCCTATTATCTCTGTTTCACTGGAAGCTTTGAGAGATATTAGTTATTTAGGTTAAATAAGTAGTTTTAAATAGTTTGAGTCACTTAGAGTTCTGGTATTGTGTGGTTTAGTATGCTGTTTGTTTAGCATGAACAGCCAGATTTACTAAAGCCTTGGGCCATAAGCTTTGGACTTTCCCCCAGATATGCTTTTGGCTAAAATACAGTTAGTTTTCTTAGTAATCTGGTACCGTGCTGGTTTCTGTGTTTAGTATGGGAAGAATGCAAACTGATATTTTAGTTGTTGCTAAGTAATTTTTACCCTAGGCCTAGGACTTTTTTAGTGCCCCATGGTCCAGAAGGTGCACAAGAAGCACAAACCAGAAGACAAGAAGGCTGCCACCATCAGCAGAAGCTGTAACTCAAACAGTTAACAGCCTGCCTGTATGAAGACAGAGACAGAGTCCTATAAAGTGTTAGAAGACCCCAGATAAAAACAAAAACCCACAACTGGACTACAAAGGCATGTGAAGGGCGCGTGCACAGCTCATAAGGACCTAATTGCTCAGGGATTTATTTGCTCAGGTCCCTTTTCAGAGGCACCAGCACAGAGCTGTACCACTCATATTATTTCTCACTGGAATCGAAAAGCTGACACTGCTGCAGGAAACCTTGCAGTGAGCCTAAAGGATGGGGAGGGTTTGGGTGCGGTGAGCAACGAGTTGGAAGGGCCACCCATGACTCAGAGGAACTCTGGTCCCAGCAAGTAAAGACGCGGTTGGTGTGTAAGCGACTCCTTGAATGGTGTGTGAGTGCTCAGGCAGCAGCTTCTCCACCAACAGGACAGCAGTAGAAACAATACCCATGTCTAGCAAATTCAGACTGCAGTTCACAGCTCGGAATTATAGACTAGTAAGGAGATATGTCCTGTGTTCACTGCCCTACACATGCCCATATCCTATTCACACTGCTTAGCAGTACCTCTTCTGGTCACAGTGATATCCTGAAAAATTCACTGAGTGAATTCAAGAAGACAAATCCCTGTATAACATGAAAATAAGAGAAACTAATGTTGGGTGTTGCTTTCTTGGGTTTTTTTTTCCTTTTCCAGTATTCCCATTTGTGTATTTAAATCTGTGTAGATCATGATTCACATTCTTTTCTATGTCCAAAGTCTGCTCAGCAAGAAAAGGGGCTTTAAAAAATACTCAAAACATACCGCCTTACTGTCAAAAATGCAACATTGCTACTTAGCAGCATTACTTTGGCACTGAATACCAAGAGGTGGAAACAACATAAATACCACGCAGAGAAAAGACGCACAGATTCACGGGCATCACTCGCGCCTGCAACGCACGCTAAACACACCGACACTAAGTGAATTGCCTGAGCAACCCCGACGTTCTCCCAAAGCAGTTGTGCGAGCGGCAAAGTAGTGGCCATTCCCAAACCCATCGGGAAGTCTCCAGCGAATATGCTTCCACCACTGCCGCCACAGGCACACGCTGCCGACACAGCCCCGCCGGGTCGCAGGAGTGGGCACACCCTCGGGGCAGCAAGCGGGCTCCCAAAGCCGCAGATCCGCTCTCTTCCCTCCGCACAGCACAACCCGCAGCGGCCGCCCAGCGCCGGCGCCTCTGTCGACAAGGGCCGCGGCCCGGCACTCACCCGTCAAGAGCCCAGAGCCGCGCAGTCCGGTCCCGGGAGACGGACACGAAACCGCCCGGCGGAAACAGGCTGCGGGTCAGGCCCCGCACGTCTTGCCCGTGCCCCAGCAGGGAGCAGCGAAGCCGGTACGCGCCACCATCGCTCGCCATGGCCGGAGGCAGCCGAGGCGCTCTGACACAGCAACCACCCCCCACTGGCGGAAAACGCCGGGCGCCGCGCCGGAAGAAGTACCAGCAAGCTCGCCATAGGCAGGCGAGGAAACTCCATGTCCCTGCAGGCAGCGCGCCCCAGCGCCGGGATACAGCACTACACTTTCTTCGTGAGGCATTCCGGGAGTTGTAGTTCTGCGAGCTGCAAACCGGCGGCGGCCGGGGTGAGCTCTCTAAATCTCGCGATAGCTCTAGCGCGGCGCCGTTTGGTTGTGGAGTTGCTGCGATACCAGCGGTGTGGTGTGTGGAGAGTTCATGGCTGCCTGGGACTCCGGTGAGAGGAAGGGGGTCGCGCCCTCCTGCGGCTCCGTGGGGTTCTGTAGCTCCAGAAGCCCTCAGCGCGCCTGGGGGAGGGTCTTTGTCGACCCGGGGGAACTGCGGCACTTCTGCCCTTTTAGGTCACGGCCAACAGTACCACCATCTCACAGGCCCATCTGATCCACTGCCTGGCAGCCTCAGCCATTCAAGAGCTGTTTCTATGTACTATGGCCGTGGCGCTGCTCCTCAGGGGCTGGTGAGAGCTGCTAGGATTTGTCAGGGGGAGTGTATTCTGGGTTTGTGTTGGTTGCTGGTGATGCCTGAAGGACTGTCCCCAGATAACCCAGATAACCGAGATGGGTATTGACAGCAGCTGTTCACTTCCAGTTCATTTCATGAGAGACTTGAATTCTGTAGGCAGATGCCGAAACGATAAGTGCCACAAGAATTAGGAGGAGTCATCTGTTTTAACAGTATCACCTGAGGACTGAATAAGCACTTGAGACTGAAAAGGCACTGCTGTTTCTCCTTACTTATGGATCTTCTGTGGTCCCTTCTGAGCACTGTCTCTCACGTACAGTGCTTTTCCAGTAATGACGTGCTTCACAGATTTTTAAAGAAAATTAAACTCCTTTTGACAGGGAAGAATTAAGCTTTATAGAGTTGATGCATTATAATTTTTCAAAGACCTCATGCAAAATAAAGGAGTATTTCTATCCATTGTTCCAGAAAGAAGTTTGAAAAGAAACAAATATGGCCAGCAGTCACAGACCTCCAATAGCTCGTTCTTCTTCAAGAGCAGGGATAGGGTTGACCACAAGGCCTACCACTTCATCAAGGACTCCATCAGCAACCAGAATAGGAACAGGGGTATGTTAAAAAAAAAAAAAAACACCTTGATAGATTTTTATCATTTTGATGGTTTTTTTGTTTATTTGCTTTGTTGTGTTTTATTTTTATTGTTGTGTTTATTTTATTGTTGTGTGCCTTTTATTTTTAGTACTGTGACTGGAGTGATAGTTTCTCAGGAAGAATTTTAAGATTTAAGTTTTGTAGAGAGTTGTTGGTTTTGTTTCTTTTCCTAATTTTGCCTGAAAGGGCTCAAGAGAACCCTTGCATCAAAAATTCAGCTGGGAGACCTTAATAGCATTAATGCTGCAGACAGAAGGAACAATGAAAAGTTGTTCAAAAGTAATTTCTTACCGTTTTGCAGCAGACATTTGACTGAAGCTTTTTCTCAGGAGATGTAAATACTAGAAGACTTACAGGAACACTGTAGAGACAGTGTAGAGAAGTTTTCAGTTGCTTTGACAGTTGCATAAGGATAATAAAGTCATAATTCAGTGTTGGGAGGTTTGTAGTTTGGTTATTTGGTCCTTTTTTTATAGATGCCTCCTAGTACATCAAGACCTGTTTCTCGTGGTGGCCCTTCAGCTACTGGAGGAGTCTTACCGTCTCAGATTAAAGTTGCAGACCGTCCAGTGACTCAACATGGTTTAAGTGGAATGAAAACTGCAATGAAAGGTATTTTTTTACTGAAAGTAGCTATCAAGGTGGCTGCAGACATTTTAAAGAAATATGTAGGTTTGTAAAGGCAACTTTTTAATTCCTATACAAAGTGCTGGGTAAATAGCTGTGAATAATAGGAGTAGGAGAAAGGAAAGGAAGATTAAAACATCCCTGTTATTTTCTTTTCTCTTGGCAGTCATAGATGACAAAGGCTTTTCTGTGCCTGAGCTGTCTTTAAAAATCATTCAGAAGCATAGAAGAAGGCAGATTGTGTCTTCTTCCGTCACTGCAGAATAATTAAAATACTGTGTTATGTGGTAACTATTAGTACAGCTGAAAAAGTAATGTATATCTTCGCAACAGTATGAAATTAATTTCTGCTTTGATTTGTTATAATGAGGTACTTTTTAAGAACACTGAGAAGATGGCAATCTCTGCCTGTAAATTCTGCAAGTTATTTTCATAATTTACACTTCATCAACATTAGTTGTTTTCTAACAAAATGTCATCTTACTGTCCTTTGTCAGGTCCTCAGAGACAGATAATGGATAAAACATATTACCTTGGTCTGCTGAGGTATGTCTTAAGAACACATTAAAACTGCAGGAGGTTTAATGCTGTGTTCACTTTCTGACGTGAAATTTGTTGTGCTTAACAGGAGCATGGGATAAGTGGTGTTCACTTACAATAAAATCTGTTCTCTTATAAGAGGTATGGTCATTTTGTAGGAGGGAGGAAATTTTATGCTTATGTTCAAGTCCAAATGGTTGCCTTTGACATTTTGTGATTAAACTTGCTAAACCATATGCAGTCCCCCAGCGTTAGTAAAAGGAGGGTCAGGGATTTTGAGCTTCCACCTATAATGCTTGATAGGTCTGATAGCTGCAATTGGAAGAAGTAGCATCACAAACTAAGCACTTTGTAGTGTACATTTCAGTTGGTTTACTTGGATAATACATTGAGCTAATGCTAACAAAGGCAAGGCCTAGAAGAAAGTGTACTGTATACAAGGCTATTTTGTCAGTTGATCATATTGCAGTATTGAATGATCAGTCCTAAAATACATAATTTTACATATGGATGATATCCATACTCTGTGAAATACTATGATATATACCATGATACTATGATCTTTTTACCTGTCCATTTGAGAATAATTTACATCTATTTCACCAGCAGGCACACAGCTAATTAAAGCATTTTATTTCATATCCAGATTTTCTAACTACTTACTAATTTATCTGCTAGAAACAGTCGCATTTTTTCCTCACTTACACAGCTCTTCTTTGAAATATTGATTTGAAACTTCATGCAGTGTAAGAAAGAGATGCTGATTGCACAGCTAGAGTAAAACAGTTTCTGTTCTGTGTTTTAGTTGTACATTCCAATATTTTGTTTATTTTTTTGCAGAAGCAAAACAAGTGAACTAACAACAGAAATTAACAAGCTGCAGGAAGAAGTAGAAATGTACAAGCAAGAGAAATCTGTTTACTTATCATATGAAAAAAGGTGAGATGTTGCAGCTAATGCAATGCTAACTTTCTAAGTAACAAAACTATTCTCAGATATTGTGCTGTCTTCCAGGAACCACTAACATCTTTTTTTTTCTTTTTCTTTTCATTGTTTTATTTTTACATGTACAAGTCTTAAGTTTGATTTTGTTTTATATTTAGGGCAGAGGCTCTAGCTGGAGAAATCAAAGAATTTCAAGGTCAGCTAGCAGACTACAACATGGTATGCTGCTATCAACTTATGATACTGAATGCTCTCCCATATCTTGTTTGCTTTGTATTGCTTTTGCTTTACTTTAGCATCTTTTTTATTAACTTTTCTCTGTAAAAATACGTTGCTTAGTACTACCTCAGTATTAATAATGAAACACACTCGTTAATACTGCCTCAATAATTTCAGTTGTTGGAAAGTAAAACAATGGAAACTAAGGAAATCATAAAAGAAAATAAAGTGTACTATACATTAGGAGAAGCAGTTGCATATGGATTTAAGAAGCTACTGCAGCATCATGTTTGTGGGTTATGTACAGTTACATATAATGACAATAATTTCTGAAAACTTGGAGTGCTGTGTACAGTTCTGATGTCCTCAACATAAGGACATGGAGCTGTTAGATCAAGTCCAGAAGATGGCCACAAGGATGATAAGGGGCTGGAGCACCTGAAGACAGGCTGAGAAAGTTGGGGCTGTTCAGCCTGGAGAAGAGAAGGCTGCTTGGAAACCTCATAGCAGCCTTCCAGTATCTGAAGGGGGCCTAAAAGGGTGCCGGAGAGGGACTCTTCATTAGGGACTATAGCGATAGGGCAAGGGGGAATGGGTTTAAACTTAAAGAGGGGAAGTTCAGATTATATATAAGGAAAAAGTTCTTTACTGTGAGGGTGGTGAGGCACTGAGGAAGTGATAGTTGTTCCATCCCTGGTGGTGTTCAAGGCCAGGTTGGACAGAGCCTTGGGCAACATGGTCTACTCTGAGGCATCCCTGCTCATGAGTAGGGGGTTGGAACTAGATGATCTTAAGGTCCTTTCCAACCCTAACCATTCTATGATTCTATGATTTTAAAACTGCATGTAATCTATTCAGATTCCCACATCATGTGTTTTCCATTTGAAATAACACAAAATTGCTGTGTTTTCGTAAGTGCTTTGTGAGTTACTACTTACTTGTCTGATTTTTTGTGTGTAATTTAAAACAAAAGGAGAGCATTAATATGTTGGAATTCTGTCTCATTTCAGGTTGTGGATATACTTAATACTGGTACAGATATGGCAGAAGTGATTCACGATTACAATATGGTAAGAATATGTTAAGAAATAGGATATAAGCTACCTTTGAAGGGTGAAATGCTGTGTTACATTCTTGGAACTTTGAACATACAATGTATCTAAAATGGCATAGCACTAATTTAAACTTACCCTTTTTTCCAAGTTAAATAAACCATGGGCAACATGTTTGCCGTGAGACAGTTGTCTGAAGCGTTGCATTAACAGCCCCATGATATTTTTCTGTGGTTTAGATTTAAGAGGGATGTCATCCCAAATTTTGAGTGTTAAGATATATTCTTTATTTGACTTGGGAACATAGAACACTACTAGTTTGATGAAAGGCAAATTCACTAGCCTGCACTGCCTTGTAAAGCCGCCCGGTCTTCTGGAAAGATAATTATATTGTTTCTTCAGCCTTTTAAATTAGTCCCATGTTATAAATATTAAATATTTATTAAATAATAAATATACCCACAAAATCGATGAGCTTTCATTTGCCTTTCTTTATTTTCTAATACAGATAGAGTGTTCCTCTAAGTCTTAAGACACAGGTGGCATTAAGCATGTTCCTTAGGATCTCTTAGGATAACTTTGTCCATAAGCAGAAGAGACTAGCTTGATTTTAGAATAGTTACTTTGGTCAAAACAACATTTACCCCTGCATTTGATTGCACAATAAAGTCACAATGTCTGTGTCATAAAGAAAAGAATGCTTTGCAAGTGTTACATTTTCATCATGTCTGTAGGCTTAAACAGTATTTTACTAAATGTTGCAGGAATAGATCCCACAGTAAGTGACTTGATTTGTAACAAACTTGATTATATTTTTTAAACATAGAGATGCCTTCTTACTTCCTTTGGTTTCCAGTAGAAGACTGTAATTTCAGAAAGCCTTTGCTTGGTATCAACTGTGAAAAACCTCTGGAGCATGTGGCCTCTGCTGCTCTTTCCTCTAATGCATTCTGAGCTGCTGCTTCTCTTTCAAAGGAAACCTTTCAAATTTATATATAGAATGTGTATCTTTATTACTGTATATTATATCAGATTTTTTTTTTTTTTTTAAGTTAAAGGTTCAGAACGACCAAGACACTCAGAGTGTGGATAAAATTTTCACAGAAAGACAAACGTGAGTACATGAAATGTATGTTTCTCCAAAGCTGTTAAAATCATAACTGAGCTTGACAAAATTGAGGTGGTATCTGATTCAGAAGTTCCTTAACAATTCCAGGCATGCCACGTGTTAATTGAGCAATTTCAGGATGGTATAGTAGTGCCATACAGCAGCTGGGTTCCTAGCTTTAAACTCTTCTGATTAACTGCTTGGAGGAGATACTTACTGTGTCATCCAGGAGGACTTAAGCGGCAGTGGAGACTCCTGTCTTTTGGGAACCTGAGTTTTGTGAGTTGTGTTGTGGAGTCCAGAGTGGAAAAAGTAATCAGAAGTGGGAACTGTTGCTGAGTTTCCTGTGTGATTAGGTAGATGACAGCAAGATGCTTGCAGTAACAATTTGTATGCCATTAGAATGGCTTGTGTAGTTATAGGCTGAGAGGGTGAGTTTCTGAGATGTTTAATTTAGGGACGAGAGATGTGCGAGAGAAAGAGATATGGTCTTGCTTGTTCCAAGCAAGAGCAATCTCAATTATGAGATTCTATGTATAGATAAGCACTTTAAAAAAATGATTTGCCTTGTAATAATAAGTCAGTTTTCAATAAAATTGCAGTTTTTGGCAGCTCACAAATGTGTCTGTTTTATCCCTGAATGCATTTTTAAGTGTTAAGGAAATAAGTATAAAAAGAAGAAACTTGGTTCAGTAGCAAACTAAGGAGTAAAGGCATCAGGTATGCAGTAATGATAACTTATTGTTGTAGTGTATGTAGGCTCACTTACGGGAACGGAGCAGTTGGTCTTTCTTGCTCTGCTAATTTGGGTAAAAAGGAAAAGGAAAAAGAAAACAACCCAACAAATGCTCTGTTCTTTTGATAGCTTTAGTTTAACTTAATAGCCTAATGAGCTGGATTCAGCCCCCAGTCTGGCTGTGATCTGCTCCAACATTTTAGAGAAATTATTTTTCGTTTCTGGACTTATTCACAATTAAAGCATTAGTGATTATGCCAACTTTACAAGCTACTTTGTAAAGAGTTAATGTTAAGCAATATACAGTGAGCTCTCCCCCTGCCATAAGTAGCCAATTAGGTTTTTATGAAAGGTGGATTATGAGTACTTTTTTTATGTTTTGAACTACTTATTGTGACACTGAGGCACGCACATCACCACATTTTTTTAACTTCATGATTCATGCAGCAAACCTTGTTATGGATTTGACAAGATGAGAGGAAATGGACTGGTTAACCTCCTTTTATATTGTACATAAGTAGCATAATACGGAAGTACAAGTGTACTACAGTTTTGAGAAATCAGTTCTTCATCCATAAGACATTATTAACTCTCCTCAGTTGCATAAGAATCAGTGTATTTATCCTCAATAAATCCATCTTCCCCAGGCACAAATGTATGAATTTTCTTAAGGGAAATTGGATTTTCATTGTTTGTATCCGATAATGTAGGAAAAGAACTCATGTCAGCTGAGAATTCCTGTTCAAACATCTCCGAGTCATTTTCTTCTAGACGACGGTGACTGTAGCTTATCAAATAGCGATACCATGTTGGGCATTTTGCAGCCATAAATATCAGGAGTGTAATGCTTAGAACAAACCCTAGGACACCTGCTAGGAAGGTCCAGCTTTTGCCAGGAAGTGGTAACTCTTTAAAACAGACAGGAAAAAAGGAAGTATCATCCTCATGAGGAATACCAGCAAGAACTCTAGTATGAATTTTTTCATAGTTAAATTGGGAACTCACAAAATAAACAATCATAGGGGAATTACTGAGTATGTCCAAAGCTTTAGTAGAATTTTGGTGTTATGTTCTTGGGGAATTAGCCACATCACGTGACCAAAACATGCACGTACATCTTATATTTCTTAGCAATATATATCCACCATGCATATTTCTAAAAAACAATAGCTTCAAAGTTGGAAAAAATTCTGGGGGCATATAAACTAAAAAATAATATTTTTGCAAAATTCATATTCCAAGACTGAGCTTCGGAAAAAAAAAAAAAACACGACCGCCAACAACAAAAACAAACAACCCCAAACAGTAATTGACTTCAAATTCTGTTTCGCAGGCTTAAATTTCTGTATGGTGATGATGTCTGCAGCCTAAAATATTACATCTTTTGTTTGGCATATCCTTTCAATTGTACTTCTTTTAAAATAAAAATTTCAATAGACTGTAGTTTCCAGGAATCTTTATTTAGAATCTGGTTTTGTGTGCTGGCCACTGTCCTAAAATAAGAATCTAGCTATTATGTATTCACTATAGTCTGTATGCAGTCTACCAAAACCTGGAAATACGCCTGTTCCATGATCACAGCTTTTGTGAAAGAATTATAGTGTATGAGGTGTACAAATGGTATGAAATTGTGGAATAGCAAATCCAACAGCTTGTAAGCAGTAATATGGAACATCAGTATGTTACCTGCATGCGTCCCATTGTTTTCAGTGATGTTTGGAGTCCGAGCTGTTAGGAAGGCACTACTTTTAAGCTTAATGGCAGAAGTGGAAGCTGCAGTGTTTTCCAAAGAAGCTTGTTCAGTTTTGCAGTCAGCTGGTTGAATAGCTGCTGTTTTGATGGAGCATTTTTCTTTGGTGTTTGGGAACGTACATATAGTGTTGTTTTCATTTTCTGTGGATGCAAGCAGTGGAAAGGCTATGAGATATTGTTAATTGATTGGCACTCTGATCTAAAAAAAAATCATAGGTAACCTAATGTATTATTGCAAAAAACTAATAAGTTGATAGTGGATATTATCCAGATCAGTAAAAAGTAAGATAAGGCTGTTTAATATAAACAAGTATGAAATGTTGCTCTAACCAAAACTTACCTATTGTCACACTGGAGGCAGTTAGCCATATCTGTAAATCAAGGAGGTCACAGGAGCAGGTCCAGGGGTTTCCAGCTAAAACTATTTTAATCAATTTAAAGGGTGATTTTATATGAAAATATCTCAGAGAGTTATGCTGTAGATCTAAAGCTGTCAGGCTTTTTAGAGAAGTAAATGTATAAGAATCTAGTTGAGTAATCATATTATAGGATAGATTCAACACTGACAGTTGGTTTAATCCTGCAAATGCTGTTTTATGAACTGTGCTAATACGGTTGCTGCTGATATCCAGAATTACCAGTTTTGTCAGATTGCAGAAGCTATTGTTATACAGTACAATAATCATGTTTTCATTCAGGTAGAGTTCAGTGAGTTTAATAAAACTTTGAAGAATCTCTTTGTCGATGTCGTTTAAAGTGATTTTATTATTTTTGAGGTTTAACATAGTAACATTTTGGTAAAGATTAGTGGGTATATTAGAGAGGTTCTTTCCAGATGTCTCACAAGTGACCTGTTGAAAAAAAAGACAACAGTTAAATACTATAGGGAAGTCCAGTGAAGTCAGTGATGGCTATTGAGGGCACAAAAAATCTTTGGTTTTTTTAGTTCCAGGACTTTAAAAGTTCTAGTGCTCTTAATGCAATTTTATTTATATTTTTCTTAATACACCCGTAGTCTGGTGATAGAGGGGAATGAATGCTCCTAATATATAGAGACCTGAAGTTTCAGATCACTTAGTGCTTGAGCTCTGTTTGGCATGCAAGGTTTTTTATGTGATGATTATTCAAACTATTTGGCAAATATTCAAATAGTTTTGCATAATATTTTGGAGTTAGGGCTCTCTGTTTTAGGATTCTATGTGAAGATTGGCTAAGTAGAAAAAGGATTCATTTCCCACATAATCTGGAAAGTAGGTGTCAGAGAAGAAGTGGATCCAAGGCTGAAAATTAATTCAAATATGCATTTTCAAATGTATTGTTTTATTTTAAAAACAGCTGTATTCACTTTTAAAATCATGTTTCGAGTAGACCTTCAACAAAACATTTAGTTGGATTTTTGTTGGATTTTTTGTTTTTATGATAACAGTTTTGATTTTCTGGGTTTAAGTTTAGCATAGCTGCAGTCTTTTCATGTTTGAGAGTGTTAACTATACCTTAAAGGACTACTGTTTACTGAGAAGAGTAGATTTCTTTATATGTGCATGCATGCATCACTGCAAGCTATAGTTTAGTGTCAAGATACTTGAACTGGGTTTAAAGCAGATTCTTAGTCTTGGAAACTGATTAGTTGTGTTACTCCTCTTCCTAACTAAGTAGCCTGTGTTCAGCTTGTTACTGCTGTGACCAGATTGAGTATAGCTAGGTAGCTGGTTTAAAAACAAATGTAGTGGAGTGCCTTTTCTACACTGTATACCCACTAAGTGTTTTTTTTTGTTCTTCATCTTTGTCCCAGAGATTAACAGGCAGTAGATACAGTACTAAACCAATGGGCAATGAGTCAGAGCAAGTAGTGCAATACCAATTTTATCAATTTTATTACTTGGCTGTTAATCAAGTTTTCTTCCTTCCCCTCCATTCTCTAGTAAATACAAAATCCATTACATTAATCTCTGGAATAAAAAAAACCTTTAAAATTTCTTACATACATTTTGATCTGACTTGGGCAAGTGCTAACTCAGTAAATCTCTCAAACTTGAGCAGTTTTTGGCTTTGTCCAAATAACTGTTGCTTTTTAGGTCTATTCCAAAATAATGTAAAGGTAAAGAAGGCACTCCTGTTGTCAACAAAGAGATATGGCTGGTATACAAATCCATCTCAAATATGTTTCGGTGTTATTCACCCACTAAAAATGACAGCCAGCAACTAGTTGTCCATTTCACAGAAAGCCATGTAATCTTATTTGTCTCTATGTGTTTCTTTCTTCAGTTTCTTTCTTTCTATGTTTACAAGCTGGCTTTTAAAAATGCCTTCAGCTTCTAGTGTAACTTTCAAAAATAAGGGTAATTTACAGACATATAAAACTTACCGTTTGAGAAGTAAAGTTGCAGTCAGCAGAGACAGAATTCAAAAACAGTGTTCCAGCACAGATCACAAGCCAAGACAGTGTCATGTTTAGAGCCTAGTAAAAACCAACACTTTTATATACCAATATGAGAATAACGCTGTCTTCTGTAGTGGTTTCTACAATGGTTCTGTAGTTGAACAAATTAATAGGTATAGTTATTTCAATGATAATTTAATCATTTTTCTTCTACACAAAAACAATGAAATGCAAAATTAAGAGGAAGAACATGTTATTAGAATTAATGCATTCAGCTTTCACTTTATTGAGCTAAACCTAAAATCCAGTGAGCAGAATGTATCTGCAAATAGAAGAGGGATTTACTAGACAGCAGTTTCTTATATGGGTAAAATGAATAGCCATGGATGTACTTATTAATTCCCTGTTAAAACAGCTGAAGGTACTGGAAGACAGTCATAGGAGCATACTGCAGAAAGTATTCAGGCTTGTGTGCTGTCCTGAAATAATTTCTTATTGCCACTGACAGAGGTAAAATACTGAACTAGATGGATTGTTGGTTTATTCAATTCTTATGTAAGTGTTTTTTTGTGAATTTTTACGTAGAAGATTGATCTTCCAATGTTTTTATTATCTATAACATAAGATGTAAACCAGGTCTTCTGATTATTATAAAGGTACAGTTGTTGCTCTGATCTTTGGAACTAAGTAAACATTGCTCAGTCTTGGTCCTGGGGTTTTTGTATGAATTCGAGCCTTACTGTTTTGAGAGTCAGGAAAGCTTTTCTGACCAATGGTATTCACTGCAACACTAACATCTCTCAGAGAAAGTGTCACTCATCCATCTCCTTTGAATCAGGCATTATTTGCAAGATCTCATAGAATCATAGAATACCCGGTTGGAAGGGACCTCATGGATCATCTAGTCCAACCATTCTAGGCAAAGCATGACCTGGACTAGATGTTCCAGCACCCTGTCCAGCCTAATCTTAGAGCATCCAGCACCAGCAAGGCCACCACTTCCCTGGGGAGATTATTCCAATGGCTCATTGTTCTCATGGTGAAAAAATTCCCTCATGTCCAATGGGAATCTCGCCAGGAGTAACTTGTGCCCAATCCTCCTTGTCTTTTCCATGTGACTCCTTGTAAAAAGGGAGTCTCCGTCTTCTTTGTAGGCATCCTTTAATTACTGAGACATGGTGATAAGGTCTTCCTTTCCTGAGTCTTCCTTTCTCCAGGCTGAACAAAACTAATTCTATCAGCCGTTCCTCATACTACAGTCTTCCCAGCCCTTTGATCATCTTTGTGGCCCTTCTTAGGACCCTCTCTAGCCTGTCTATATCTTTTTTGCATAGCGAGGACGAAATGCCTGTTATCTCTTGAGCTGTAGAAAGTATCACTGAATTTAACAGAGAATAGTGGGGAAAATTACGTAAGGAAGCTCAATTGCATGAACGATGCTAAACCTAGGCAGCCAGTCAGATTTAAAAAAAACTCCACAAATGTTTAAAAAGAGTGCCAGGAGGCCTTTGCCAGTAAGCATGGAGTACATGAGGGCACAGAGCAAATTGGTCAAGTCTAATTGATTGCTTTTGTACATTAGGGTGTCTATGGACTGACCTCATTCACCTAGCTGTTCAGCCTGGTAACCTCCTAACTTCTTGGAAATAAGAAAATAAAAGCCATTTACACTGCTCTTATCCATTGTGTATTTCTACTGCTGTTAGAAATGTACATTAAATACAAAAAGAATTCATAAACCATTTTGTTAGGCATTGTCAGTGGCACGGAAAAGGGGTACTAGCAGTAGCAGCCACGTTGTTATCATAAAATTATAGAATCAACTATGCTGGGAAAAACCTGTAAGATCATCAAGTGCAACCATTATGTTCTGTATTAGGTGCTGTTATTGTCAGTGGTGGTGCTGGTAAACTGAGTACTTCATTTTTTGGGCCAGTTTGTATATTACTAGTAGAAACCATTTTGCAGATTGAGAACTCCCAGTACAGACTGTTAACACTCAGATCTTGTAGTATACTTGAACCTTAAAGATCCTGCTTCCAAGATTTTCAGAAACAGAGTGGCCTTAACCAGGCAATATAGAAATAAAGATTAATAATATTGTTGTAGTTTGCAGATTTCAAGAGAAGTATTGTCTCTAATACAGTGAGAAAAATATATTATAATATTATTTTGTATTAGAATATTATTTTAAAATTAGTCTGTAAGTGGATAACAATCAAGTTGAAAATAAAAGTAATTTTTAAAGTTTTTAAAAACTTCAAGCAAAAAGTTAAAATATCTGAATTAAAAAGATGACATTAATTTAAAAAATCATTTTCTTGTTTCAAACTTCACTCTGCATAAAAATTTGCTCGGCATATGTCTAAAGCATAGTTCCTATTTTTTACTTTAGTTTCTAATGACAAGTTAGGGGTTTTTTTACAAGTTTGATTTCCTGTATTGTACGTGTGGGAACCTGTGGAAGAACAGTAGAAGAAAAGGGAAGTATCTGTAATTTTAATTGCAATTTAGCTTTTTACTAAAACTAAACTCCACAAATTGCTATTTAAAATAATTACTTTGGAAAGAAGCTGAGCATGGCAGTACATTCATAATACCTTGTAATTACAAACGTTTTCTTAAAAAGTTTTCCTCTGAGAACTTTTTAAGATGTTATTGTTTAATAGTAATGTAATTCCTATTGGTTTTCTTGAATTTGTAAAGAAAAAGACAGATTCTGGGAGGTACTGGAGTTTATGTAATCAGCTAGTCTGTTTTCCAGAGAAGACACAATCTATTCCCTCGCTTTCTACTGAAGTACAATTTACTCAGCAACTTTTCATGTCCAAGGTTCATAGTAATTCCTGAACTTTTAATGTCTCTCAAGATGTATTTTTTTCCACTCTGGCAATAAAGTTATACTAATAAATCTTTGCCTACCTTTTGAAAAAGATATGGCAAATGTCTTACCTTTCTGTTGCTTGTTAGAGCAGCATATGTACAGAATAGAGATTTTTCAGTGCACTGACAAGAAATAATATGATGCAACAGCACTTTGTTTTTGTTCAACCTTTGTACCTGATGAATAAGCAGGCAGTGAAAAAAAATAATAAACCTAGAAGATCCTTAGGAAAAGATTGACCAAGTTGAGCAACATCTTATAATCATCTTGGATTTAATTGGATCTGCAGCCAATAGGGAAGTCTAATAGTAGTATGCTCAGGTGTCAAGTTCCAGATCATACGAAGAGTACTGAGTTGAAATGCCACAGGGAATTTACAAGCAAGTTTGGTTACAATCAGTTAAAGATATGCTGGAGACAGCAAAATACTTGCTTTTTTTTTTTTTTTTTTTTTTATGTGATCAGTCATCAAATGAAGAAAATGTCAAGATATTTGCATATTGAAGTAAGGATTTCTAGTAGTGAAATTGGTGTTAATTCTTATGGTTTGGAAAAACATCAGAAGAGCTGCAGGGTGTGATACATAAAGTTCATTGTTTACAAAGAATTACAAGCACTTAAGGACACGTGTCTGTTTCATTTATTTTCTACTAATTTCTAAGAAATTCCTGGAGGCTAGTCAATTAAGATAACTAAAGGAAATCTACAAAAAATCTTGAGACTATGAAGTGTGTACCTTCCTTCCCTTCCCAGTTCATGAAAGATTATTTCAGCTGTGTGCTTGTTTCCGAGTGATTCCTACAGCTAAGAATGGCAAAATCAGCTGGATACGTGCCTTCAGGATTTAGAATCATAGAATCATTGGGGTTGGAAGGGGCCTTAAGATCATCTAGGTCCAACCCCCCTGCCATGGGCCGGGACACCTCACACTGAACCATGTCACCCAAGGCTCTGTCCAACCTGGCCTTGAACACCACCAGGGATGGAGCATTCACAGCTTCCTTGGGCAGCCTGTTCCGTTGTCTCACCACCCTCACAGTAAAGAGCTTCTTTCTTATATCTAACTTGAACTTCCCTTCTTTACGTTTGAACCCGTTACCCATTGTCCTATCACTACAATCCCTGATGAACAGTCCTTCTCCAACATCCTTATAGGTCCACTTGAGATACTGGAAGGCTGCTATGAGGTCTCCATGCAGCCTTCTTTTCTCCAGGTTGAACAGCTCCAACTTTCTCAGCCTATCTTCATATAGGAGGTGCTCCAGTCCCCTGATCATCCTCATGGCCCTCCTCTGGACTTGCTCCAACAGCTCCATGTCCTTCTTATGTTGAGGACACCAGAACTGCACACAGTACTCCAAGTGGGTTTCACGACAGCAGAGGGGAGGGGCAGAATCACCTCCTTGAACCTGCTGGTCACGCTCCTTTAGATGCGGTCCACTTTTTTTTTTCCTTCTATTTTTCATTAACTCTTCCCAAGTTGCAAGATGCAAAAAGTTTTAAATTGGCTAACCAACAGTTATCAGATCAATGACTGCAGCCAAGAATGCCCTTAGTCTTGAAATATGATGCATAATTTCAGGCTAAGTGAACACTGAAAAATTCATAGAAGCAGAGTAGAGCTGATGTTGGAATGGGCTTCTGAAATCATATGGTCCAGCGCTACTGCTCCTAGAGCAAGTTGTCAGTGAAGCTGGAGGAATACCAGAGTTTGAAATAGGTTCTTAAACATCAACTAGTAAAAGTTACAACTGCAATCTGTTTTTCCAGCACAGAAAAGTTAATTCAGAATGTAGAAGAAGATATCGAACATGCAAAGGTTGTAGCAGAAGACATAATAAAAGACATGTCAAAGGAAAATCAAGCTAAATACGTGGAGATGAAGGCTGCAAATGAAAAACTCTCTCAGGTTGGTTGATCTCGTACTTACATAAAATGTTTCTCAGCCTGGCTCTATTGATTCTGGGTACAAATTATTAAAGAGCTTGAGAACAGAGTAATGCAATAAAAAAGTTTGCTTGTATCTTAATCAGTTGTAGAATTGCCTTAAAAATAAAGAGTGATTGACTAAAACAAAATACTTTGTCTTTTTGTATATCTTTTATAGAGAACAAATGATGCTCATTATTTTCCTTTTAAATTTGGGGGCTGATATAAGGATTTTAAAAGTCACTGTAGTGCTTAAATGTTTCATCATGTGTAAAAAGCAAGCAAAAGGGAAGAACAACCACAGCAATTTTTGTAGTTCACTTCTGTAGAAACTTTTCTTCTGTGCAAAAGTGAATCTGGGTTTTTTTGTTATTCTTGTACATCTCAGTATATCAGAAAAATGAACTGGGCTTCGTAAAATTTTTCTGACTTCACAAATTGTATTAGCAAAAGCAGTAAGATTTCTAGATTCTCTGGGATCATCTAGCTTCAGACACACAGTCGTAGAAAGTTCCTCTGTATAGCGTATACAGTGATAGGCATCTTTTGAGCCCTGTGCTTCTCAGGTATCTTAGGATGAGCTAAATCATTGATTAGGGCCTGTCTCTTTCTGGACTGTAAAGAAACTGAGGTGGCTAGTTCAGATTTTAAAATCTAACTTTAAACTTCTAATGAAGAAATGACAAATTCCACCCTAGTACTAAATTTTACACAAAATAGTGGTAAAAGGGTAAACACGTTTTTCATCATAGTCTAACTCCAAATAATGCTAACAGCTTATTGAAAAAGCTGGATGCTGAAAGTAGGTGAATATTGTATCTAAGTCACTTGGAGAAGCTGGACACAGTCTTTTAAATTTTTTAGAGCAGCAATAAGATGTTTTACAGCATTTTATTAATAATAAGTTTCGGAACAAAAAAGTTACCAAGTAGCAATTTTTATGTGAATTTTGCAAATTTTTTTTTCTTTCTAGGAATTGGTTGTTCAACAGCAGGAATTGGATGCACTAAATACAAAGGAGGAGGCTCTAAGAGCTGTATGTATGATAACAAGTGGTCTCTGTACCAATCTTTGCTAAACTCGTGTAAAAAATAATGCAGAAATTATGGGTGGAGATTTCTGTGTTTTGGGTAAAAATTGTTTCTGTGGATGCCAAGCATTAAATTTTTATGGCAATAGCGAGGTGTGTGACTTTTGATTAATTTGGAATTGTTCTGTAAAGATAAACATGACATTATCATTCACGTCCTTCTTAAGGATTTGTGAGACCTGATTTTTCAATGTATTTTCAGCTTTCAGGTTGTGTGAGAATGATTTTCTTCTTCCACATTCCATTTTAAAAGCAGCTGGTACTTGAAACACAAAGTGGTACTCACTAGGATATTTTTTATCCCACATGCACACATAAACACTTCTAATACACTGAGTATAATTTTCTTGTACTGGGTCTTCCATGGATAAAAGGATCTGTCAGCTGAAACATACAGTCATGTATATATATTCAGAAAGTATAAAATTTCAGAAACTCCTAGACATTTTACCAGTCCTTTTGAAAACTGTATATGGTTTGTAATCCCCTAGAAATGATGAGGTAGTTAATCTACTCCGAAAATTGGCTTGAGGATAGGCTTACATAAAGAAGAAGTAACTGATTGAGTAATTCCATTCCAAAAATACCATATTGAGAATATGGATTATAAAGTTTATTGTTTAGACTGTCTCTGTACTGTTTGTAATAAATAAGCTTCAGTTTCAATGTATAGGTAAGTGTTGCTTAACTAAAGCATAATTTCTGCAACGCTGTCTTGACATCTGAAAACAGCTAGTAGGTGTTTGCTTTTCCCAACAGGAAATAGAACACTCTCAGGTGAAAAAGGAGGCTGTGCAAATGTATGAAAAGCTCCATGAGCTTGAGGAACGTCGAGATCAAATGATTGCTGAGGATAAGAATATGGAATCTCCGCAGGAGGAAAGAGAAAGGTTACTAAAGCAAGTAAGAATATAAAATGATATCATGTAAAATATTCTCTGAGTCAGTATTTTAAGGTATGATAATATTTTATAAAACTTTGGTTTGAATCTTGCCTTTATTTGCTCTTAAAGCAGCAGAAACCATCTGAAATTAAAAGCAATTAATGAATTGGCTGGATGGGATGTTTCAGGTTCAGACAGAACAAAACTGGCACAGTCATCAGTCATGTTGTTATGGGAAAATTGATCCTACTGAACAGTTCCATAACATAATTCCAGACAGTATCCTTGTGAGGTACTGAGCAGACACATTAATCCAGGAACAATTCAATTAGTTTACAAGCATCTGAGCTGTGTTGTGTAACTTTCCATATATACTGTACAAATTATTGGACTGAATGACACTGGTGTGCCTGATTTTTCATTATGTACTCAGAAAGCAGGAGAAAGTTTGGAAGAAGTAACGCTTAAATCATATCACTTTTATTTAACGAGGAGTCGTTGGACAATGTGGCAGCATGTTTGTGATTTCATATATTGAGTCTCTAGTCACTGTGTACTTAATTAAGAAATCTTTTTTTGTTTTCCTTTTTTCACTTGTAGGTTTTGTTTCATATGTTGAAATTGTTATAATTTTTTATAGGTTAAGGATGACAGTCAAGAAATAGCGAGTATGGACAGACAGTGAGTAATCCCATTATACTGTTCCTACAAATTACATTTAGAGCCTAAAGACAGATAGCTGAATTCCATTGTATGTTTCTATGGACTTTTAGAACATTACCACATTTTCCAGCCTCTGCTAGTGTTAACCTGCCACAGAGAATAGAAAATACTCTTCTGTTTCAGCTAAACAACATCTGTGGTGATAGGACATCTATTTCTGCATAGGAAGATACCTCCTATCCTTATGAACATGCCTTAAGAATATAAATTGCAGAATCATAGAATCATAGAATAGTTAGGGTTGGAAAGGACCTTAAGATCATCAAGTTCCAACCCCCCTGCCATGCACAGGGACACATCACAGTAAACCATGCCACCCAAGACCTCATCCAACCTAGCCTTGAGCACTGGCAGGGATGGAACATTTGCAACCTCCCTCGGCAGCCCATTCCAGTGCCTCACCCCCCTTACAGTAAAGAAATGCTTCCTTAAATCCAATCTAAACCTCCCCTGTTTAAGTTTGAACCCCTTACCCCTTGTCCTGTCACTACAGTCTGTAATGAAGAGTCCCTCCCCAGCATCCTTATAGGACCCTTTCAGATACTGGAAGGCTGCTATGAAATCTCCATGCAGCCTTCTGTTCTCCAGGCTGAACAAGCCCCAACTTTCTCAGACTGTCTTCATACAGGGATCAGTCCCCTGATTGTCCTTGTGGCCCTCCTCTGGACTTGTTCCAACAGTTCCTTGTCCTTTTTATGTTGACGACACCAGAACTGCACACAATACTCCAAATGAGGTCTCACAAGAGCAGAGCAGAGGGGCAGGATGACCTCCTTTGACCTGCTGGTCACGCTGCTTTCGATGCAGCCCAGGATACAGTTGGCATTCTCAGCTGCAAGCACACACTGAAGCCGGCTCATGTTCGTTTTCTCATCGACCAGCACCCCCAAGTCCTTCTCCGCAGGGCTGCTCTGAATCTCTTCTCTGCCCAACCTGTAGCTGTGCCTGGGATTGCTCCGACCCAGGTGTAGGACCTTGCACTTCTCATGGTTAAACTTCATGAGGTTGGCATCATCCCACCTCACAAGCGTGTCAAGGTCCCTCTGGATGGCATTCCTTCCCTCCAGCGTATCAACCGAACCACACAGCTTGGTGTCATCGGCAAACTTGCTCAGGGCACACTCAATCCCACTGTCCATGTCACCAACAAAGATGTTGAACAAGACCAGTCCCAACACTGTTCACTGAGGGACACCACTCCTTACTGGTCTCCAGCTGGACATTGATCCATTGATCACAACTCTTTTTGTGCGGCCATCCAGCCAATTCTTCATCCACCGAGTGGTCCATTCATCAAATTGATGTCTTTCCAATTTAGAGACAAGGATGTTGTGTGGGACAGTGTCAAATGCTTTACACAAATCCAGGTAGATGACATCAACTGCTCTACTGCTGTCCATCAGTTCTGTAGCCCCATCACAGACAGCCACCAAATTGGTCAGGCAGGATTCCCCCTTACTGAGGCCATGCTGGCTGTCACCAACCACCTTGTTGTTTTTCATGTGCCTTATCATGCCTTCCAGGAGAACCTGCTCCAAGATTTTGCCAGGCACAGAGGTGAGACCGACTGGTCTTAATTTCCCGGGTCATCCATTTTCCCCTTCTTGAAAATGGGGGTTATATTTCCCTTTTTCCAGTCATCAGGAACTTCACCTGACTGCCATGATTTTTCAAATATGATGGCCAGTGGCTTAGCAACTTCATTTGCCAGCTCCTTCAGGACCTGAGGATGGATTTCATCAGGTCCCATGGACTTGTGCACATTCAGGTTCTTAAGATGGTCTCGAACCAGATCCTCTCCTACAGTGGGCCCAAGGTCTTCATTCTCACAGTCCCTGCATCTGCCTTCCAAGACTTGGGTGGTGTGGTCAGAGCATTTGCCAGTGAAGACCGAGGCAAAGAAGTCATTCAGAACCTCAGCCTTCTCCAAATCCAGCATAGCCAGTTCTCCTGATAGCTTCTAGAGAGTGCCCACGTTGTCCCTAATCTGTTATTTGCTATGTACCTATAGAATCCCTTCCTGTTATCCTTAACATCCCTAGCCAAGTTTAATTCTAACTGGTCCTTAGCTTTCTTAACCTGGTCCCTAGCTTCCCGGACAATAACCCTGTACTCTTCCCAGGCTGCCTGTCCTTGCTTCCACTTTCTATAAAGCTCTTTTTTCATTTGAATTTTCCTCAGGAGCTCCTTATCCATCCAAGGAGGTCTCCTGGCCCTCCTGCTGCACTTCCTTCTACTTGGGATGCAACACTCTTGAGCTTGTAGTAGGTGATCCTTAAATATCAACCAAGAGTCTTGAGCCCCCCTGCCCTCTAGGGCTATAGCCCATAGAACCTTACTAAGCAGGTTCCTGAAGAGGCCAAATTCTGCCCTCTTGAAGTCCAGGGCAGTGAGCTTGCTGCAAGTTCTTCTCACTGTCCTGAGGATCTTGAATTCAACCATCTCATGATCGCTGCAACCAAGGCTGCCCTGGAGCGTCACATTTATGACCAGCCTTTCCCTGTTGGTGAGCACGAGGTCAAGCATGGCACCTCTCCATGTCAGCTCTTCTATTACTTGCAGAAGGAAGTTGTCTTCCACACAATCGGGGAACCTCCTGGATTGCTTGTGCTGGGCTGTACCATCCCTCCAACAGATACCAGGGTGGTTGAAGTTACCCATGTCAATGAGGGCCTGTGAGCATGAAGCTGTTCCTATCTGTCTATAGTGCTTCATCCACAGAGTCCTGTTGATCAGGTCGTCTATAACAGATCCCCACAGTAATGTCTCCCATCACTGTTTTCCCTTTAACCCTGACCGACAAACTCTCTGTTAACTGATCACCTGTCCCCAGACAGAGTTCCATTCACTCCAGCCTATCCCTAACATAAATAGCAACTCCCTCTCCCCATCTGCTGAGCCTGTCTTTTCTAAAGAGTCTTTAACCTTCCATTCCAACACTCCAGTCATAGGAGCCATCCCACCATGTTTCTGTGATGCCTATTATATCATACCCCCATAGACGAGCGCACATCTCTAATTCCTCTTGTTTGTTCCCCATGCTACGGGCGTTTGTATAGAGGCATCTGAGCCAAGCTCCAAATGAAGCTGGCTCATTGGCTGGAGCATCTGGAATATCTCTACATTGCTCTGAGCATTTATTATAGGTGCTGACAACTGACTGGGAGTGTTGGGATGGAATGATGCCCCCCTCCCCCAGCACATCTAGTTTAAAGCTTCTGTGACCAGCTTGGCAAGCCTCCTACCAAAACCCTACCATGACCTGCCACTTTTTCCTGGCAGCACCAGTAGTGATCTTATTTACCAGTGCATCAGCCGGTTGTTTCTGGTGTTTGCTTCCTCATTAGCCCCCTGCAGGACAGACAGCAAAGCAGTTCTGGGCGGGGACAACAGATTTAGGAGGAAGCCCTTTGCTTTTAATTGTTTTCTGCCTCCTTTTTCTGTTGTTTTTTGTTTGGTTGGTTGGGGTTTTTTTGTTTGTTTTTTTCTTTTGTTGCTGTTTCCCAGCTTCCCGGTTTAACGGCCTCCTTCTTTCCTCCATGAGCTACAGTGGACGCTTGATGCCCCTGCACAGTTTGGGCCTGGGTCAAGCATTCCTGCTTCCTCTCAGCTTCCCTGGCATCTTTCAGCCTATTGACAGGGTCCCGCAGCGCAGCCACCTGCTGCAGGAGGATCTCCACCAGGGCGCACCGAGTGCAGCCCTGCCCATTGTGCACCCTAGCCTCAGGAGGCCAGTGCAGGCACTCTCGATACTCCAAGTCCTCCCCTCTCGTCTGCTCTGTCTGGGTGCCTACGCTGGCCACCGCCGGGGCAGCCAGAGCACAGCTTCCAGACCGGGCCCTGGTCATAAGGCGAGTGCTCACCATGCCGCTCGAACTGCTGCGCAAACCGCCTCGACCTGCCCGATCACTCGCGCTCCCTGGGGCAGGTTTTTACCCACTCAGGGCTGGTGCCGCTCCTCCTGGCTCCGCCCCCTGTGAGTCCCTGTTCGGGTCAGCTGAGCTGCCGGCTCCTGGGCAGGTCTTGTCGAGGACTTGGGCCTCCCTCAGTGGCTCTCGCCGCTCTGAACTGAGGCTCCCGGCCCGCTGAGCTTCCCCGCTCTCACGTGTTGGAGGCGTCCTCTCTCGAGCTGCCCACCTCATCAATTGGTAATAAATTGGTAATAGCATTGTCATAAACTTATTTAATGCTGAAGAAGACATTCATCCAACAGCTAATCATCTGGTACATCTATGAAGTTGAGCCTATATTATGCTGCAGTAACATTTTGAAGAGTTTATTTGTTATGTGTTCTTAAAACCTAAAAGTTACAAAGTTGCTTACAGAAAATTCCATTCCAAAGAGTAACAGGGAATTGTTTCTTGATTCTTGGGTATTCAACCTTTCTGAAGATTTGCCAGGAACTCTGGAAGATGTTACAATAAATAGTAACATATTGGCAGGTAGCAGAGAAAACAGTACAATGTTTTTGTGAATCTTACTCTTGTGATCTCTTGCTCTTTACAGAAAGAATGAAATAATTCCTGAAATCTCCTAGAAACAATTTTGAATTCTTTAAAGCAGTACTCCCAACTGTAATAATTCATTAATTTTTAATACATTAACACCTTTGAGTGGATAATAATGCAAGTTGCTTAAGAGATTTTTTTTAAAGAAACACGGTCAGAGAATTATATTTGAGAATTTACATAAATTTTTTAAGGTGATTATGTAATATTGTGGTTTACTTGGCAATGTCTGAATGGATTTTAGTGAACACATGAGTAATTTTCAGGAATACAGCTCCTGGCTGCATTTTATGAATTATGTTGTACCTCTGCAAAGTGGTATAGCAGCCAACAGAGGGACCAGTTGAGTAAGTTAAAACTACTGAGGACCCAAAAAAAGGAAAATTATAATAAACAGTAGCAGTACTTCCATTTAATAGATATAGGTACTTACATGACAGGTGGTTTGCGTAAATCTTTTATAATAACAGAAATCCTCCTGATATATTTTTTGTTTTCAAAATTTAGGTTTGCTATTTTTATTCTTGATTTTTCTGTCCTAGTTTTGTGTAAAAAAGCAATTATTTTACCACACATTTTTTAACCATGGATTTCATTATCCATTTTCAGGCTGGCAGAAGTAAAAGAAAAAACAAACCACTTTAAAAAGATCATACAACGACTTGATATGGACCTGGAGAATTATGAAGGTAATATAACTAGAGTTTTAGCAGCCTACGCAGAGCTGCATCTGTATTATAGTACATATTGTTATGGACATTAGCTGCTTTCAACTTTTAGGCTTAAGCAAATGTCTGTTATTCACCATTAGAAGAAGGTTTTCTGTTTAGGGGTGCACTCTTCTCCTTTCAGATATAAGAAATGGGGAGTACCCACCTTTAGTGGGCAGTTCATCAAGTTTATATTAAGTAGTAAAAATACCATATAAAATAATAGTACAGCTGTCTGGTTTTCTGTCCCAGTTTTGTTTTTAGGATACTTGGGGAATAGGAGTTTCTCCTGATGGCAGCATTGCAGAACCAGCTCAGCTTTAGAACAGATTTTATTTATTTGACCTTTTATATGATCTGATCTATTGTCAGCAAATGTGGAATTGAGGATGTTTAATAATAATGTACAAAGTAGAAAGAATTCAGAAAGTAGAGAGAATTTTTATCTGTCTTTCAAAGTCCTTATGTTGATCTTTACAAGAGTTTTGGAATTGCTTAGAAATAGTATTTCCTTAGAAACTTAGCCTCCAGCAGACACCTGCTATAGTACACTGGGCTAGTTTAGGATGGGATTTGTCCTAGCATTGCCCATATGGTTCTGATGTAACCACAGTTGAGTGCAGGCCCTCAGTAGCTGTGGAAGATTCTCCTTAAAATGGAAATTGATCCCATGGAAAACCTCCTTATAATTATAAGGAATCTTGATTAGACAGGAGTTGCATAAATACATACATACATTCTGGAAAATTTTTTACCAAGTTATTTAAATTCTGTAGGACAGATGAATTAATGCATTTGTGTCCTTTTTACTTTATGCCTTTTCTCAGGTAATCAGGATAAAACTTAGCTGTAATTTTTTTGAAGGTGAACAAATATTTCTAAAATTGACCCTATACAAATGTTAGATGCATCTGTTTCTCATCTTTTGCATCACAAAATATCTCATGTTTCTCCAGATATTTCATTATTTCTGTGCAAATAATTCATTAAGGCTGTCTTACTAGTTATTTCCAGATAATGTCATTGCCAACTTTAGTATTCTGCTTTAATTCTTCCTTTTTGTTTGGCTTGCAACTTTTTTTTTTTTGTATCTTTGGAGAAATGCAGAAGGTAAGAAGTGAGTTACTTTTTTGCATTTTATAATAACTTTTACAGACACAATCATTCATTGCTGGACTGCATGTCTTTATTTTAGGAAAAGACTTCTGTTGAAGAGGTGTTAAAAGCATATGTAGGAGAAAGCACATGCTTTCTTTCAACAATCAGGAACAGACAGGATATTCAGAATATCGTTAACTTGTGATATAAGAGAGGGAATTGTACCTATTCATATAACATAGAGGAGATAAAGAAGTTATTCATAAGGAGTTGCTTTAAGACACAGAAATCCAGACTCCCAGTGTCCTTTTCTCTAGTGAGTAGAGAAAGAATCCCAGTGAGCCATTCATACTTCTGCTCTAAATCAGCAGTTTGGTGTGCCCTTGAGGTTCCTGTCCTCCCTCCCTCCCACCATCCCCCATCAACTTACTTCAGCCAACTTAAATACTGGCTAAGTATTTAAACTGTTTATTACAAAGCATTCCAAAAACTTCATCTCTTTAAGTTTTTTCAGTTAAATTTCAGGTAAAATAGCCAGTAAAATAATTACAACTAAGGATTTTTTGAATGTTTTAGGATAAACATTTCAGTGCTAGCAACATTTTTAAGCAGGAAAACCAAAACAAAAAGACCATTAATAGAAATAACTATTTTTAGTTTTCATTTAAGAAAATCTAAATAAGGAAAAAAAATCACTCATTTATATGTTCCATATGTTAGCATTTGCCGTTAACAAAAATGATCAGAGACTGGAGCACCTCTCCTGTGAGGAAAGGCTGATGGAGTTGAGGTTGTTCAGCCTAAACAAAACTCCAGGGAGACCATATTAGTGGCCTTTTGGTATTTAAAAGGGGCCTATGAAAAGAGGGGGAGAGACTTTTTAGTAGGGTCTCTTGCAACAGGATGAGGGGTGATGGCTTTAAACTAAAAGGGGAGATTCAGGCTGGATGTCAGAAAGAAATTCTTTACAATGAAGGTGGTAAAATACTGGCAGGGGTCACTCAGAGAGGTGGTGGATGTGCCACCCCTGGAGACAATCAAGAACAGGCTGGATGTGGTTCTGGGCAACCTGATCTAGCTGAAGATGTCCCTGCTCATTTCAGGGGGGTTGGACTAGATGACCTTTGAGGGTGCCAAACTATCATGTGATTCTGTGATCCAATAACTGATTAGTCAAAATCAACATTAACTCATAATGCAATAGACTTAACACTTCAGAAATTGCATGAGAGGCTAAGACATTGATGTAATAATGTTGTATTTTAACAAAAACTTATCTGTAAAAGTTTTTTTAAAGGTTGTGGGTTTTATTTAACTTTTTTTCTTTAAATACTTGGCAGGTCATGTAGCTCTCTGTTTCATAGTTCGCAGTAGCTAGACTTTTTAAGAGTAGAACAGACTGAGTTATTTAGTGTTGGGGACTTGCCTTGCACAATGAAAGAGAGAGTCCAGCAAGGAACAAAGCCACAGCTGCAAGGAAGTCGAAGCAGAATCACAGTTCCCTAGGGACCCATTGGTGTTCTTATTGTTTGTATATATGAGATAGAAAGGAAAGCATGGGATGTGCCAGTAGAAAGACCTAGAGAGATTTGCTTGCTCAGTTATATCTGTATCCACTTCATTATTTTTCCTTATATTCTTTAAAGTTACAAGATTATGCTGAAAATTTATCAATGACAAAAACTCAAACAATTAAAAATCTAGCTCTTTGAAATTTAAATTATTCTTGGAGGCTGAATTGTCTAATCTTCTTGAAATTTGTAACATATGATATCTCACGATTTATTAATGCATTTTAATTAAAGAGCTATTTGTAGTCAGTATTTTGGTGCCCATATATACAAAAACATTTGTTATCTTTTCTTGAAATTCACCTGACATCAGAAAAATCTTGTTCCTTTGTTCAAAGTAAGTATTTATCCCACTTTTATTTATAAAAAATGCTAACGTCTAAAAGGTTCTAAAATCTGCATTGAGAATGATTTATTAATCTATTCTTCTTAATATAAAAATATGTATGACATAGTCATTTGAAGTGATTACATTAAACGACATGGGGTGAGTCCTGTAGTTTCTAGGCATGTAGAATCTGAATTTTTAAAACTGACATTTTGCCTTCCTAAAGGAATCCAGGACTGAGACAGATAAAGTTAAATCCATGTTACATCCCTTTCAGGAGAAGAAAATTGGAGATACAAAGAGCTGAAGAAGAGGGAAGAAAGCATGGACAGTAAGTAGTCTAATATACTTTAATTAGGCCTAATTCCAGCAAAATACAGGTTTTCTTGTATTAATTTAGAGCTGGAAAGAACCAGTGCCCTCATCTTTGCATAAAATTTCTGTGATCTGCCTCAAGACGAGATAATTGCTATCTTACAGTTACAGATATTTGGAGCATTGTTCAAGGCTTTTCATCAAGCATTAGAGGTCTTAGGAATACAGCTTTATTGTATGAAAACAAGACTGAAATGATTTTTTAAATTAATTTAAATAAAAGACATATGCAGTCAGCTCTTCAGGTCTGATTAAAAGCAGAAGTTAAAAGTGGAAAAGCATAGACGTCATATAATTCTTTAAAATCAAGGCTTCTTATATGTGTTTATTGAAAATAAATGCTACTAAAGCTTTCTTCCACAAGACAAACAAGGTCAGTCAGACAGCTGTGGTAAAATGGAGAGTTGCTTGCAGAAAAAACGATGAGATGAGATATAAGTATGGACCTTGCTTGATGTTTCTAAATAAATTCAAAGCAGGTTTGAAAAAACCAAAACCAAAACCCAAACAATAAAACAAACAATTAAAAAGGTCCAAAGTGCCAAAGGAAAAAAACACTAGTCAAGACATACAGGTATGATTTTTAGGTCTTAATTCCACTCAGGCTCAGTTTTACAGAATTATGTATTTGTGGTTGTAAAGTATTTTAGTTTTGTTCTTATTTCATTTTACGAATATGTGAGAATGCTTTTCTTTCATGAAGGCACTTTTATTTCACTCCTCTGCCTTACCTACCTACATGTTTTGGAAGATTCAATATCCTCATTGTCTGCAGCTTCCTTTGAAGTGAATAAATAGGCTTATCAAGATATCGCAGTCAACTTATTTAAGACCTGTTTGCTAAGGTGCATCAAAGTCCATGGCATCATCTGTTATGTAAAAAGAAGTGGCTCAGTCCCCCAGAAGAGACAGACATTAATGAAGCCTTTGCTCACCACTAGAGCACTAAATAGTTAAATGTTACTGAAAGTTTTGAGGTAGGTTGTTTGAATGATTCCCTTTGTAAAAACTGCCTACATAATCACTTAAACAAAAAAAGAAGAGCTCAAATGTTTTAAATACAAAACATTAAACAAAAATTTCAGTACTATTGCTTCCTTACTACCTTTCCATTAGTTCTGTTGTGCTGAGATATTTTCTTAGTGTAGAAGATTCCTGTCTGTATTTCACAACAACTGATGGTGTGAAATACTCAAGTAAGTGCCCTTTGAGAAAGGAGCTCTTTTTGGAGCTGACACTGTTGTCCCTCTTATTAAAGTATAGTTGTCTCATCTTTAAAATCAAACAAGACAAATTCATTCTGAAAGAAAAGGACATCACAGAGATAAAATAGCTTCATTTGTAGCCTGGGTACTGGAGACAAACAGGCCTGGCTGTCTTATTCAGCACTTGGGAAGTGACTAGCCTCTTTCAATTGCAAGCTTTTTAACACTTCGGTTTTAACTCTGTTCCTGGTTACTACTTCACAGCAGTGTTGGGAAAAGGTATACCTTTTTACATTTTTGACACGTACTGTTCTCTACAGCTACTAGTCAGCATCAGCTGGACCAAAACTTTATTTCAACTTTCTGAGCCAACTGAATCTGCATCAGAACTAGTTATTTTTAGTAACCAGGTGTGCACATTACAGATGTGTTTTCTAATGCACATAATTCATTTGACTTCTAAGGATTTGTAGTATCTTTAATTCTGAAATCTGTGCCTCAGAGATAGTCTTTGTAGTGTCTTAGTATTGTCCACTGGCTCCAGTAATGCAAATTTTCCACTTTGCAAGTTTTAGAAGCTGTACTCTGTGAAGCATCTCTGTTAACTTTTCTTGAGCAGTGTTGCAGATGATGTCAGATATTACAGTAGTTTTCTTATCCATGAATGTTTTATTAGTAAGTAATTTTAAAATCAGATATTTATTAAAACTCGTGGATGCTCTGAAATCCAGAATTCTCTAGTCAGTCTTTGTCCCTTCAGGATTTGTCAGTATTTCCATTAAGTAGATCCTCATAATCTTTCTGCATTCTTGAATTTGCTATTATCTAATCCTTCTTGCTCAAACAAGCACTTCTGCTCTTTTTCATCTAGCTAGAAAGTTTGCAAACTCATATTTGCTGAGGGCTTCTGTGTATGTAAGCCGTGTTTTAGGAGGAGACCCGAAAGAAGAGGGACGATCATAACTTACAGCCCTGGCTGGCATCTTGATAGACCTATAACTTTCATGTGATGTGTCCAGCACCCTTTTTTCAATATGCCTGTCATCAGAAATACATTGTAGTATGCCCAGGACACACATACAGGGGGTATACCACCATTACAAGTGTCTTGCCAGATTCAGTTGGACACTTACTAGAATGAACATAAATTAGCAATGTAGCAAAGGGACATCATAGGTAAAGAAAAAGAGACCAGGTGAATATTGGTCTCAGGTCCTTAGCAATGTTTGACATTTAGTCCACCCCATTAGAGTTAATCAAGTCCCTAGTGAAGTACCTCTTCGCTTTATATAGTAGCCCATTTTGATAGCCCTCAGAAGAATTAAGACCGACAGCTGCTGGGACAAGCATTCAAAACGCTGTCAGAAATTATCACGATGAAACTCCTTATGCATCGGGTGGCGTAAACCTAAACAGCATCCAAGAAGGATGTGCGTCAAATATGTCAAATATGCGTCTCTGCAAAAATTGTCCTCTTTTTCATTCTAACCCACAAGTTGATGTATTTCAAGGACCCTATCACCTGTGTCTTAAATAAATAATTTATCTTAAAGTAACCTGTCTGAAACTGTAGAGCTTAGAAAGTTTTCACTGGAAACTACAAGGGCTTATGCTATACCCACACAGCAGCAGCTTTCTTTATCATGTTTGTTGATCTCTAGATTTTTTTGAGACTTTTGAAGAGGTGAAGAATCAGGAATTGGAACGAAAAGCCCAAATAGAAGCCAACATTGTTGCACTCCTGGAGCACTCAAGCAGGGTAAGTGTATTTTTCTCTTCCTGCGGTAAGCTAGGAATTTAAAAGGACAGAACAGGAGCATGTTTGGTTAAAGAAGGGTGATAGTTTTTATATATTATCCATCCAATATCTGCATTGCAATCTCCTAAGAGAATTAAACACTACATCATGTACATCTGTAGTTAAAAAAACAAAGCAAGTCCACAAAAAACAAAACCAAGGCATATTTGATTAATTTAACTTCATTTCTGGAAAGAAACTTTTGTATATTAGATAACACTTGCCACAAGAGTAAAAGAAATGTGTGCTTAATTGCTGTAACTCATCATCACTGCTATAATGAACATTATTCCATTCATTATAAACATCTCAGAATATTGCAAATAAAACTACTGCAATATTTTGTTTACGTAAGGTCTGCAAATATCAGTTCATGGGTATTCTGTCACTACTGTTAAGTAGTTGGCAATATTCCAGTACCCTGCTGTGTAATATTTAATGTAAACACTTTAGAAATTGTTCCCATTTGCAGTCTGCTTTTTTTTTTTTTTTTGCACTTTCAAAACGTTTGTTCTTGCAACAACTTTAATTCCTATGGATTTTTTTTAATCTTATACAAATCTTTTATCTGAGTAATAGTTTGATTATATCACCACTTCATTGTCTTCTAAAACTTTTTCAGTATGGTATTCCATAGGTATATTTTAGGCAATGACAGTTTAGTAGGGATTAATAATGGCAACATAGTATACCTTTCTTGCATTTTTATGGCATATGCTTGCTGAAACTTTGTTTCGTCTTCACTGCCCTGTCAGTATATCTTTTGTCTAAAGTTGGCAGAATGAAAATCGGTCACATTTAAGTCACTTCAGAGTATTTCCAGTATTTTCAGTCTTCGCAGAAGAAAAGCCCCATAACAGACAATGTACAGAGACAGGAAAGTTTTTTACTAGTCCAGTTACCATTTGTTGTTTCAAAGATACATCATATTCTCATTATTTTTATTGGTAACACACAGAATGTGAATCGTATGAAACAAATTTCATCTGTTACCAATCAAGAACTGAAGATTATGCAGGAAGACCTCACTTTTAAATCAAACGAAATGCAGAAATCACAGAGCACTGCTAAGAATCTGATTACAGGTGAGATCAGCAATGAATTTTCAAATTAATTCCTTAAAAATGTTAAAATTACCTGAGTTGTTACATTAGTAATAAGTACAAGGTCAGTGATCTCCAAATACCAAAATACAGTGGCAAATTAATCAATTCAAACTCTTGTGGGTAACAAGTTCTTTGTATTCCTTAGGAGTATTTAGCTTACTATTATGATGCTTCTTTGAACAGATATACATTAAACATATATATTTTAATAAAGGGGTACAAAATTCTTTGATATAGAATTTTGACTTTATTAATATTCACCTTGAATATAAGCAGTTTTCATTGTCTTAAAATAGTGTTTAATAAATTGAAGTAGACACTTTCCTCAGTTATCTAACCATGTATTATTTGTAAATGTAGTTCTCAGAATCACTTAGTTATGGTTTTGTGTTTTTCTAAAAGGGAATGTACCATGAAAGAATAATTTCCAACAATAGTGAATAGCTCTCAAATTATAAGGCTTTGATTTTGCAGAGTGGATATTAATTTTTACTTCATTTTGGATCTACTGAAGTAGGTAAGTGTAAGAATCTGTGGAATCTTGCCTGTAATTTAAAAAAACAGTATTGTTCTTTCATTTCCATGGCAAGTATCTATTTAGTTCTTTTTTTCATTGTTTACAGTGGAATTATTCTCGTAAGTCTAAGCCTTTGCCAATATCATTATTGGTTCAGCAAGCCTTTCCTTGTTTGGCTAAAAAGAAGGGGCAGGAATTAAGAACCATAAATCATTTTGATAGAAGGCTGTTACATGCTCTGCTTGGTAGTAATTTTCGAAGTAGGAGCCTGTGTTGTAACTTCAAAGTAGTTATGTGCAAGTAAGTTGTTATACACACAGTGTTACAGAAATAGATTGTTCTGTTGTGTGTTTTATCATGTAATGGTTGCTTGTCTGCAAATGCTCCTTTTGCCATTCTAGCGTAGTTTAAAAGCTGGGCCATGCATTGCAAATTCAAATCTGACTTTTTAGTCTTTCATTTAAGCATCATTTCTTATTACTTTGCAATATAAGGATATTCTGGAAGCACATATCACTATAGAGACATGTTGAAAGGAAGTTACAATACATAATTTTCAGTAGGTCATTTATATGACTCATCACTAAACTCATGAAAGCAAGGAGTCACAGATGCTATATTAAGTAATATAAGATTCTTGAAAAAATACAGTGAATATTCAGTTTGCGCAGTTTACATTCTTCCTAACCCTTGAATTATAGCACAGTCATCTTCAGGATTCTTTTGTTATGTTTAAACAAATTACATTGCTGTAAAAATGTCTACCAGCAGAACCCTTAAGAAAAAAAAAAAGGAAAAAAAGAAAAGGAAACCATGAAGAGTAAACAAAAGTGCTGATGGCATAGTTTCCAAAAAACATTTCCCTGGGTCACTGTAGTTTGGTCTGGGAGTTTGCTACTGTGTACACATTGCTTGCTAGACACTGCAGCTTCATGGTGTATCAGAAGGAACTGGGCTGCATCCTCTTCCTGTCTCTTCCCCTAGAGAAGTTTTGAGTTTTTTATGTTTTGATTTTTTTTCATTTAGGCTGTTGCTGGATAAGGATAAAATTCACTCCTTCCAGTTTCTTCCCTTTTCACCAGAAAACATGAATGGATAGGAATAACCCACTGCTATCTCAACATAGTTTTTACCAGTATATAGATAGAACAGTCATAAGAATCCTTTCTGGCATTTTGCCATTTATATTGTTATGACTCTTCACATGTAAAAAAAAAAAATCCCAATTAGTCAATTATGTATAATTTTAAAATAAAAAGTAAATATATTAGAACAGCTATATGAAGAGTGAAAATACTGTGATTATGCCTAAGTAAATGCATAAGAAAATCAAAAGTTGTTTTCTGCTATCTAGCAGGAACTTCAAAGTGAAGCTATAGGCAGCTACAAAATACTGTAGACACAGGGAAGGTGTTTCCTTAAGTGCTTTAAGGTGGATTCATACTCTACACAAAAGTCTTGACTTGTCTTTTTGTTATTTTTGAAGTTCCTCAAGAAATCATCAAGGCACTCTGTAATAAGCCAGAAATGTTAATTAAAGCAAATATTTAACTCTAAAAAAATAGTATATGGCATAAATACATAAAAGGTAAGTATCAAAATCTTGCTATGACAGGGTTTTGATCACATGAGTTTTTCCAAAATAATTTCACTAAGGAAACCATACCCACAGTTTTTGGAAAAATGAACTCGCCCTCTATTACGTGTGCATATCCACTCCCTGCTGCCGTAAAGATCTATCCTGCCTTGGTAAAGTTGGAGGAAAAAAATCCTAACCTTTTTTCCAGGAGATCAGCACAAACCTAAGTCTGTGAGCAAAATATGCAGTCTGTTTTGATAGAAGCTCCTTTGTGGTGTCCCATCCCTCCCAGTAGCCCACTTTGCCTAAGATTTTAGAATATAGGAAAAACCGTGCATTATTTGTGTCATTCTTCTGAGTTAGACACTGCTCTGAAGCGTAAGGTTATGTAGCTATGTGTTTAAGTGTTCAGGAAAATGAAGAAAAGACAATGTCAAGGCTACAGGTCAGAAAACCAGTCTAGCCACATCTAGTTCTTCCACACTCAGGGTGGATAACTTACTCCCAAACTGAATAAAACTCGAACTGGATCAAAGTGTATTTTTTTTATTTTGTGTATCTTTGTTGTGTCCTTTCTTGAGCATCTCATGACTGAACAGTTTCAGTATTTCCATCTCTCTTCATGTAAGCATCCATATTTCTAACTCCTTTAATTATCTCTTTTGTTTGTTTTTAGTGGATTGTCAGAAGTAAATGCTGTATATTGTAGCACATGCTCATTTTATAATCTATGACAGTACTTATTCTGTGGATATATGGAAGTGTTTTCCTGTACAGAGTGAATGCTTAAAGCAGATTTGGCTATTTACTGTCATAGAACTGTCATGATAAACAAGCAAAATGAATAAAACCAACATAAATAACAAATAAATAAATAAATTTGTCTGCATTATTGCAGTCAACTCTTCATAAGGTATCACCACTGCTTAAGTATCACCACCGTTCACAGCCTTGCTGCTGTAAACATTAGAAATACCACACTGCAATGCAGAGAATCAGATTTTCAATACTCTTCACTTACAGAGTATAATACACTAATTGTAATACAGGGGTCTGACTTACAGGATGATTTTGAAGATCAGCTTTTTCCTTTCACATTAACACTCCCATGCATATCAAAATCAGAAAGATAAGCAGGAGCTGTTTGTGTTGCTTAGATATAGAATAAATCTTTATATAGTAGACAATGTATCATGAAATAAAATGCCGTGTTAATTGATTGTGTACTTGTGATCTAGAAAGCCAGAAACTGCAGATGGACCTACAGAAGGTGGAACTCTTGGAGGGCAAGATGGTTGATGAACTAGCTTCTCTTCAAGACAAAATAGAACAAACAAAAATGGATTTGAAGGTCTATAATAATTTGCCAGCTCTGAAAGCATCAGGAGAAGAGAAGAAACAGGTAATGAAAATAATGAATCCTTTCATATGCAGACTTTTTGTGCTTTTGAGCACCTAGTGGAGGGGATCCTGACTGATGGCTGAAAATGGGGCTTGCACTCCAGGGCAAATGAATACAGATATGTTTCTGCTTATATATATGACTAGGTATTTGTAGCAGGCTATCAACTGGATACCTTTTGATAATTTCTTTCTCCAAAATTTCTCATTTAGTGATTCATCTAAACATTTCTGCTGTAACATGTCTACCCATAAGTTTGAATTTAGCAATCATGGAATCAAAACACTAAAGAAAAATTATTCTGCATGTATTTTCTCTAAGACAAACTCCATCTAGAGCACTTCCCGCTTTGCAGGTGATAAGTTTCCTACAAATTCTTAACATTAGCATTCCTGCTAGTGCTACAAGCCTCCAACTTGATCATAACCATTGAATAATGTTTTTAGGATAGAACATGCATGCTAGAGAAAAGCATTATGTGTTCTTTAAGCTTATGATTGTGTTCTGAAAGGAAGAAAAAGTAGCATCTGGAAAGCTAAATTCAAATCATTTGTCTGTAACCCAAAGCATATTAACTCACCCATTAACTGGTTTGTGTTTTCTTTTTTTCCCAACTAGAAACTCCAGGATGACAAAGAAAAATTAACAAAACGAACCCATGCTTTCAAGAAAATAATGGAACACTTGAATATGGAGTATGAGGCAGTAAAGAGAGAGCTGCAAGAGAATGAGACTCATTCTCAGGTGTAGATCAAGCTACATACTATCTCTTCAGTTGTTTCCATTGTAGTTTCAGTTTTCTCATGCACATGAAGCATTGTATTGACAGAATCCATTTATCCCTTCTCAGGGAGTTTTCAAAGTTATGTGCTGTAAATGTGTAGCCCTGTTTTCTGTTTTCAAACAAAAGTTAGTATCTTGCCAATAAATTGCTCATAAGCTTTGGATTTCAAAGTCACTAGCAGAGGTCTCTCTGAGCTTAAAAATTGGGTGAATCTTTAACTGTTTGTATTAATCTTGCTTAGAACTCTTCCCCTTTTGCTTTTCTTTTGCTTGAGGAGTTTAAAGAGTCACTGGTAGTCTGATAAGATCCCTTTTGCTTTTAAAATTTTCTTGCAACTTGTACTGTTAATTCCATTTCAGTTTTCCCAATCCTTCTGCTTCTCGCAGAACACTGAATTCTTAGGGTTTGATGAGACTTTTTAAACTCAAGGAACTTTGGTATATGACTGTATTTACTTTTACATTTCCAAAGTGAATCAGGAAGGATGATGTTTATAAACTCTTGAGCAGCTTTTTTTCTTCCATTATAAACATCCAAAAATCACTGTCATTTTGGCAACAAAGCTTTAATGGCATATAGGTTTGAATGCACAGAAAGAAAATGGACAACATCAAAATAAGCTGAAAAATGGAAATTGATTATTTTCATTTCACAGATTTTAATTGTTTCAGGATGTTGAAATCTTTGTCTTTAGAACTGTTTTTTTCTGATTCACTTAAAAGTTGAAGGAGATATTTGTACATGTTTAAATTAACTTTCTTCTGGAGCGAATTTTATGGAGCAGATGAGAGGGCATAGCTGTAAATGAGGAGGTATATGTATAGATTCATAGCATATGATTATTGTGTGCTAACTCTAAGGTGATGATATAAATCCCCAAAGCTACATGCCAAAGTTCGCAAGACTTCAGTTACTGTTTATGTTTTATGGCAAAATCAGATTCTTATTCCTAGAGGTTATGCAAATCAGACCTGGATACCCAGCCACTGTTAAGATATGCATAATGATGCAAAAAAAATTGTACAAAATAGCATTATAATGTACAGCGTTTCTTTAGTTCATTAAGCTGTGGCAGGTCTATTTCAATGGCTGCAAAAAGGATTTGCTTCTTTGCTTTTTATGTCATGAGTGCAAAAGTCATGAGGGTAAATAAATATAAAATGGCTGACTAGTTGACATTCATCAAGCATTTTGAAGTGCAAATAGTATTTACATCTCTTGAGGGTTTGGGCAATTTTGTAAGCAATCGACTGTATGAGCTGTGGCCTTCAAGGAGTTACTACAAAAATGCACTGAATATATCCTTTTATATATATCAGACAGGCTACTGTACTGGCTATATTGCATGTAGCAGTGTCTACAAAGACACCACTAAATATTATATTTGATCAGAAATACCATATGTTGGAAATAAATGACTGGCATGTTTGCAGTGAACCAATACACTAGATAACTTATTCTTCACTGAAAGATTTTTGTGTAATATAGGAATTATTTTCATATCAACTTCTAGGTTAAAAATAAGCTTTTAAGTAAAATCTTACAATATTTTACTAATTTATTACCTTAGTTTCCACTGAAAGTTTAGTCTCAGAATGATTTTCAGGTTTTGCATTTAAAAATAACATCTGCATATCTTGAAATACAGAACCTTGAACAGTAGCATCAGAAAAACAAATATAAAATTGTATTGTAAGGAAGCAGCCATCGATATAATGTCCACATTAGTTTCCTGTTGATGCTGAAAGTATTGAAGAAGTGCCAGCACTTAACCCACACTCCTACAATCTTCTTGCTGCAGCTCTGTTCTTATCACAGCTTCTGGCATCAGACAGGAAACTAAACTATGGAAGTAAGGAAGTTTCTTCTGTATAGCTGAAAGTCAAAGACAGTGTCAGGAAATATTGTATCTTTGGTGATTTTAGATCTTACTGATTTTATAAAAGAGATTTAAATGATATGAACTATAATGAGAATGAGTATCTCTCTGCAGTGTTTACCTTTTTACTTCTGACTTGCTTACACATTTCCCTGTACAACAAGTCTTAAATTCTCAGCTGACTTTTTTTCCACCTACTGCTGTGCTTTTATATAAATAGAAGTATGAAGTGCTAAATTATGTATAGGTTAATCATTGTCAGTTTTAAAACAATTTTGCTATTGTTTCTAATTTCTGTGGGTTTGGGGTTTTTTGTGTGAAATAGCTTTGATCTTATCAGGTGGTAGGGTACAGGGTATTCATATAACCTGGTTTTTTTGGAGAATCTTTGTATAAAGTACATCTGTAATAATAATAGTTTTCATTTTTGGTTCTTTTTGTGTTTTCAGCTTATAAATTTGGAGAGGAAGTGGCAGCACCATGAGCAAAATAACTTTATGATGAAGGAATGTATCCTTTTCTTTAAGAAATACAGTAAAATTCATACAGTGTATTAGCTGAGGAAGAAGTCTGTTTCCTCCAGCAGAATAAGACAGGATGAAACGGCAGCAGAAGACAGGGGAGGAGGGGAAAGGAGATGCCTTGCAAATGTCTGTTTAGCTGATAGACTTTATATATAGCAAAACTTTCATGTGTTATCTGGAACAATTCTAAAGCATGAGATTGGTCTTGCAGTCCGGAGTTTTCCTGTTGAATCAGTCTTGCATTAAGTTTCATACAAATATCATCCTGTCATCTGTCCAGTCTTATCTGAAATCACGCAGCAAGTGTAGCGTTGTTGGAAAATCTGTGTAGTATGGTGACTTTACATGGTAATTTGCAATCTTATAACACCATGACATCATTGATGAAAAAGTAAACAAACAAATTCTGGGCATTTACTCTATTTCTTATCAAATAAAAGAGAAATTGCATATTAGAGGGAAAATTTAGACAAATATTGTAAGATATGACAAGAGGTGCTTTTGCTGCAAAATGTGCTGGGATGGGGGAAGTGCATTGTAGCTTTCCCATTATGCGTTGCTTATTGAAAACTTACATTCCGTTAATCATAGAATCATAGAACGGTTTGGGTTCGAATGGACCTTAAAGGTCATCTAATTCCAACCCCCTTCCTTCCACTAGACTAACCTTCTGCTAGGTTGCTCAAAGCCCTGTGCGGCGTGGACTTGAGCACTTCCAGTGATGAGGCATATATGACCTTCTAAACCATCAGCAAATCTTGTATTTCATAAGGTAGTTTTTGAAATTAGGGAAAGCACTGAAATTTTTTTATTTAGAATTGATGGTTCTCGTATTATTCTCCATAGTTATTGAAGAGAACTGAGTATGGTATAGTTACACTTTTATATTTTAGGGACTTCGAATTCACTGCAGTACATTAACTTCTTTAAAATGATTCAGGTAATAAAAAATCTATAATCTCAAAGACTCATATAACCCACAGTTATATGATTATTACAGTATAAATATAGTTGGTAAAAGTAACAGCAAAACTAGACCACACCATCAAGTGTTACGTGTTGAACAGTGTACTTCACTACATGTCTCAGCAAATGGCATGAGAATATATTTTGGGCAACTCTGTATCAGCCTGTGCATCAGGGAAATAACAATAATAATACAGGATATACATATAGCATTATCTTTTCCATATACCAAATATTCCATTTCTCATATCTGATTAAGTGCTGTGAAAAAAATCAGGAAAAAAACTTGGACAATGTAAGGTAATTAGACCCCACCTCCTCTATAAAGAAGGCTCTGCAGGAATATTTTACTAAGGCAGGAATCTTAGATCCTATTTTTTCTAACATGAAAAGCTAAAACAAGCCAAGAAAAAAAAAAGTTTATATTAAAAGCACCTCCTTACTTTCTACAGTGTAATGCCTATCCAAATGTGAACCCCTCTGCAGAATTTTACATCTGCTTGGGGTAGTCCTGCTGTCTTGGACCGGGACTTTTATAGCCAAAGTGCCAAACTGAATGTATGGCTGTAAATAGCTGAGTGCCTTCACCCTGTGGAGAAGGACTTGGGGGTGCTGGTTGACGAGAAAATGAACGTGAGCTGGCAGCATGCGCTTGCAGCCCAGAAATGCAACTGTATCCTGGGCTGCATCAAAAGAAGCGTGACCAGCAGGTCAAAGGAGGTGATCCTGCCCCTCTACTCTGCTTTTGTGAGACCTCACTTGGAGTATTGTGTGCAGTTCTGGTGTCGTCAACATAAGAAGGACATGGAACTGTTGGAACAAGTCCAGAGGAGGGCCACAAAGTTTATCGGGGACTTGGAGCACCTACTGTATGAAGACAGGCTGAGAAAGTTGGGGCTGTTTAGCCTGGAGAAAAGAAGGCTGCATGGAGATCTCATAGCAGCCTTCCAGTATCTCAAGTGGGCCTATAAGGATGCTGGGGAGGGACTCTTCTTTAGGGACTGTAGTGATAGGACAAGGGGTAATGGGTTAAAACTTAAACAGGGAAGTTTAGATTAGATATAAGGGAGAAGTTCTTTACTGTGAGGGTGGTGAGGCACTGGAATGGGTTGCCCAAGGGCGTTTTGAATGCTCCATCCCTGGCAGTGTTCAAGGCCAGGTTGGACAGAGCCTTGGGAGTCATGGTTCAGTGGGAGGTGTCCCTGCCCATGGCAGGGGGGTTGGAACTTGATGATCTTAAGATCCTTTCCAACCCTAACTATTCTATGATTCTATGACTTGAAATTATTTTGTTTGCAGTGTTACAATGAGAAGAGTCTTTCACAAGGGACCTATTGCCTATATACATGAAAATAAAACTGACTCAGGCATGTACTCTTTTTTTTATTCTTTTACAATGCTTGGCATGAGATTGCAGCTAGTAAATCGGTGTAAATCTTTTACACCCAGTTTGAGGTTTTTCCATTATTTGCACCCCTTGACAGTTTTCACAGAAGGAAACTTACTGCATTGCGATTTCCTTATGGTCCCTAATATCCTAATATTTATACTGGCAGCTTGTTTCCTTAATTCTTTTAATCAGTCATAGCAACAAAAAGTCAGGAGAGTGACTACCAGCCAATAATGAAGAACGTGAGAAAGCTGGTTGCAGAATACAACAAAGCTCTCATAGAAGCTTTACAGAACACCAAGAACTGAATCCAGGCACTTCCTTCCTGCCCCAGTGGACCAACAATGAAAGATGTCCACAGCCAGCATGGAAAACTAGATTGCTGAACTCATTCATTCACCACTATGGCAACAGACTCTTAAAAGTAGTTCTTCCAGGTTTTTAGAAATCACAGTTTTTAATACTGTTCCTCTTTTGCAAGTTAGTTAAAAATTTTAGAAATGAACTTCTGAATTTTATAAACTTGTAGAAATAAAAAAGAAATACTGCACAATGAGTGTAAAATAATCAGAATATTTTACTGAGGCCCATTGCTGGATTGAAATGGGAAACTTTAGCCTGCTTTACACAATGGATCTCTAATTGTCTTGTAGGCCTGTTGCTGCCAAACATAAAGGGAGTTTTTTCCTTGAATAAGGATTGCCTGGCAGGCTGTCATACACATTATCTTAAATGAAGTGTATGATAAGATTAATGGTAATATAGCATCCCTATTTAAACAGCATTTTATGACAGGGAAGGAAAACATCTAAGGAGGACAAGCATTCTTTTGAGTCAGAATTGCTTTATATTATAAATGTCTTATAATAAAATAGTCTTACAATAAAAGCAAATGTACTTTATGTGTTAGAAAATTTTCATTTCCCAATAGAGAACTGATTAACTTCTTTATTTTATATTTTTTTAATATGAGAACCATTCACTTTTTTCATGCAAAGTGAAGCATAGCTATTACTGATCTTGTGCAGAGCATTTTACTTTTGTAGTATTTACCAATAAAAGAAATAACGGGGAAAATTATTTGTATTTTCTGCAATGTTTTTTTCCCCTCATGTTTCAAGCTGCAGTGTCATGCACAACCTCTACTTGGAAAAAATACTTAGATCCAACATCATAGAAGAAAAACAGGACTGATGCAGAAATAACAATGTGCTTTTCAGAACTCTCAGAAAACATTTACATAAAACAAAATTTCCATGTGTAATTAAAAACTCCCTATTGATAATTTTCTCCACCTCATATGTTGTAACCCTAGTCCTGATCAAAGAGGAAAAAAAAGAAAAGCACAATTGACTGTAGATAGGAATCTTATCCGGACAGTAATCCAGCCTTTTAAAAGAATAATGACAAGCAGCAGGGTCTGGATTTGTAATTGTTCCACTCTCTTCGAAAAGTTTTCCAAAAAAGGAGTAGACTGTATGTTTCACTTCATAGAACTGGGGTAGACCAAGAATTAGAAAACACGCTGAGTCCATTAAAACAGAAGTTCTGTATCTATGTCACTAAGTTTCTCAAATCTGTGATTGTCAGTGGGAGTATAAAGAGGTATGTAAAGCAAAAATATTGAAGATTCTCACAGAGAATCACCGTGTTTCCGAATTCAGCACAGTAAATGCTGGTGCAATTGTATATTTATGTCTGTATAACATTTAGAGGTAACAGAACAGGATTTCTATAAACCAAGGACTGTTATCTAGGGGAAATTCCCACTAATGTCTCTTCCTTCCTGTCAAAGTTTCAGCTATTGCAGAGAGAGCCCATTATTTGCTGAGGTAAAGTTGAAGTCTAATATTCTCACCAACCAAACCATCAGCCAGAGATGATCTCTTGAATTCCACTTCTGCTACAATAACACATTTTAATGAACAGAGGAAAAAAAACTGCAGACTGAGTAAACAGACTGCTTTAAATTTGCTTTCACTCAGGGTAGGGGATAGTTTTATTCTTTGGTAGTGATTCTGTAAAATAGCATGGCAGAGTTTAGATTTTTTTGGTGTTCCCAAGAGATGGTTGTCATAAAAGTCCTCCCTCCAGCATGATGTTCTTTTCCTTGTGCTATTCAGGGATCTCCAGGTTACCTGTTCCTGTCTCAGAATCTTCTCAATTGTTCTGACTTAACAGTTCATCCTTATGGCCCTGGATTATGGTCATAGTACCCATAGCTGAAAAGAACTGTATGGATTCTAAACACTGAGGTACACAGCAGGCATTTTATCTCTGTCAAGGAGATTAACAACTTATTTCCAGAAGTGAGCTGAGTAAATTGCATCCATATCTAGCTGTCAACATCTCAGTGAAAATAACTTTTGTTTAAGAAAATATAAAAAGAGATAATCTTAAAAGTCTATTTTTCTGCTGCAAGTGTAAGACGGAATTTCAAGGCATAAGACAGACCGTATGATGAGGTACTAGCTCTAAAATACCTTAGTTTGAGGAAAAAGATGTTAAAATGCTTACTTTATAACAACTATTCTGCAAAGTATCTGCTTTTTGTGAACTCCTTGGAAACATATCTCAGTGATAAAGCATCTCGGTGGTGTGGATGTGGCAATTGTTTGAAGTGAAAAAAAACTCTCAGATTCTAAGAGATCACAAAATTGGCGTTCACTTAAGCATATGCAGAGTGCTGAATACTAGCTGAGTGCTGTATGTATTTTAGGTGATAATTCAGCCAGAGCAATACTGTGAAGTGCACGTTTATCTCTTCAGAGGGGAACTGAATTACTCCCAAACCACTTGTCATCTTTCTCTTTTTTCAGTTAAGAGGAAGGAAGCCTTTAAGCATTTCATAACTGCAGAGATGTTCTGAATTCAAAATCCCAGCTTTGATCAATCATTCATTGGCGTTGGCAGAAGTTTGAAGCAGAGGAAGAAATGTTCCTTTCACTGGTTTGCAGCGTTCTCCTGTCAGGAGGACTGGCCGGTCAATATGCCAGATATGTGAAATGGAGGAAGTCTCCCACATCTTAACAAAAAAGAGCCAGAAATGTAAAATGATCCACTCTTGTTTCCTCTTGTAAAGCTAATTCCTTGAAAGCTACAAAGTGGCTGGGCTTGATTCACTGAGCACTGGTATCTTTGGATCAGGCCCAAGATTTCTGCTGTGCAGCAAAGGATGAGTAAGGTACAAGACACTGGTCTCCAAAACACATCAGAAATTTGCCCATGAATACTATTTCAAGTGGGGTGAGAGGGACTCACCATCTCTGCAAATTAGAAAATTAAAATAATTATTATAGCAGAAATTATCAGTCACCCCAAGAGTTATGCATGAAAGAAAAAATTCCAAATAAAGCCTTCAAATCTTCTGTATCCTTCCTGTTCCTTCTTTTCCTTCCAAATTAAATAAAGTGCTTAGTGGCTTGGACTTGTGTTCACATTTTTTAGGATTATTGAGCTGAAAATTACTGAAGTTCTTTATCTATATACGAATACACATTTTAACTCCTCACCTTAAGATGAGATGCACATTTCTCTTTCATGCTTCCATATTTAAAGAATTGCAAAAATTATATTGATCAAACACTAAAAGAAGTATGCCATTTAGGAATCTTTCTCTCACAGGGAAAGTAAGAAAACTGAAGATAAAGCTGGAGGGTTCAAGAGAAGGAAGTTACACTGCAGCTCACCAGCACTGCACATGTGGCTCTCCTAAATCAGTACAAGATTTTAGCCAGTCCCAGTGTGACATCAATTTAGAAGCAAAGTAGACAGTAAATTTATCACTAAGTTGTACTTGGTGAATGCTGGTTGTAGTTAAATAAAATTAAATGATGAAATCATCAAATAAAAATGACCATTAGAATCACATTTACAGTGTGAGATTAATTCAGTGGCAGATATTTGGTCCTGTAAACAGGATTATAAGAATGATTTTTGGTAATTTTAATGGATGAAAACATTAACCCCGAATGGTTGAAAACACTAAACCCGGGATCTAATGAACACAACCCATTTCCTGGTCCTTGGAAGCAATACTCAGATCTGCAAACCTCCCGTGCAATAAGTGGCTCACGCAATTAGTCTTTGTCTCTCCAAATTGCTCAGATAAGAAATCTGCCTCATTAATGCTAGGTACTTTAGGCAGTCACATCTTTACTGCAGTGCATCTTTTGGGGTGATTCAGTGTCAATATCTTGAAGACATTTAGATATACAGTTGATACTGTTAAATATATATTTGGATATACAGTTGTTACTGTTAAACACACAGACTCGTTTGTCCTTCAAAATGTGTTATTGTAGAAAATTTAAGTAGAAAAGCAGTAACAGAACAGAGGAGAAAAATCATAAGCTCTGTAGCTTTTGTGTGAGCTCTGCTTATCTCCTGCTGGGTGACACCTCTTCAAGCTGGAAAATGGCATTCATCTCCAGGCTTCTTTTGATTTTAGTACAGCAAATTAACATCACATCTGTGCTCCCACAGCCTGATCCTGAACCTGGTCTTAGTAGAGAAACAAAAAGCTTGATTTGGGGTCAGTTTAGCGCATAATCAGAATCACCTCTTTTATCAGATCTTTTAAAAACTAGAGTGGATGTTTTCAAAAGTAGGAAAACACAAATGTGCTCAAAAAGCAATGACAATAAGGATGCAGTTTTGTTGTTTTCATAACAAAAATTAAGTGGGATATAACTACACTGCTTACTCATGTGATTTCATATCTGTGTTTGACATCATCAGAGGCCATCACCATTGCTGGCTCATAGCTTCACTTCCCACACTTGCTTTCTCCATGTACTTTTTAAAAAAGTCTCCTTTTTGGCAACAATGAATTGGGAAGCATAATTTTTTTGTTGTGCTGACAACAGGCCTCTGTAAAATCTACATAAGGCCTATTTCATCAAAATGCAAGTGACTCGCAAGGTAAAAGTTTCCAGAGTAGAGACCTTAGTCAAACAGCCTGATGCCCTTCACAATGGCTTTACTGATACAGAGGCCCTAAAATACTCCTCTGTTGTTTCATCAGCTGAACTTTCCACTTGAAAGAAACCTGAGATTTCCATTAATTCTGCTGTAGTAAACTCCCTTTTATTTCACTGACTAGGAAGTCAAGAAAGCAACAGCTGTCTTTGGCTAAGGCTGTTCTGTTGACTGCTCAATACTCAGCCATTTTCCAGGCCATGGTCTCCTGAAAATCCAAGAAAAGCTCCTTTAGGAGAAGAAAACAAAAACTCTGAACAAAAAAACCTGATGATAGATATGTTTGAAATCCTGACTTACCTTTTGAATATGCTTATGCAGGAGAGGCAGCAGAAAAAGCAAAAAGTAACTGCACCTCCACAGCACCCCAAATGGAAGAGAATGAGCTACAACAAAACCCAGATTCTACTACCTCTTCTACCCCACCTTAAAGTTTCTCACAACCACTCCTCTATACTGTCCTTTCCCTGTTATTCTGACTTATCTTTAGCTATGTACCACAGAAACCTTTGTCTCCCCCCAGTTTCTGCACTGCCACTGCACCTTGTAGGGATGGTCCTCCTCCTGACCGCTTTGACCAGCCACTGCACCTGCACTCTGACTGGCCACCTGGATCCTACCTCTCACTTCCAGGTAAAATAGATGGCTTAGGGGCTGTGGCTGGCCTCAGTGGCATAGGCTGTTCTGTAGGGGAGAACAGGATCTGTTTAAGAAAAGAAGCTTAAAAAGAAGCCTAACTCTCTTATTTATGACCCTCTGCTTCACATTAACTGATTGCAGTGAGTAATAATTCCTAAAGTTCCTTTTCTGCCACATGTTAACATCATGTCAAGGCCAAAGTAATGGCTTGTTTCCAAAAGGCATAATACAGCCAGACACTGCAAGAGGATATGTGCTTTCTGCTAACACATCTACCTGATTA